CCACCATCTGAATCCAGCTGTCTGCGCATGTCTGCACAAGCACAGGCCCCGAACGTGTGTTTATACCCCCCCCCCTGCCCCCCCGGCCCCACGATTCTTACAAGGCCGTGCCCTTGTGGACGTCCCGGTGGCTCGTTGGCAGGGGTGCGACTGGTTTCCTCTCAGGGCTTCACTGAGCTAAGCCAAGGGTATGCAACCGTTGCACCTGGGTGTATAGATGCGCATAGATAGTGTGCATAGCACAGAGGCCTCAAATTCAGCGTACAGACGCCCGAAAGCCATTGCCACTCCCCCTGAGGTCCCTGTCGAAGCTCTCAGGGCGAAGATGAAAGAGCAGCCCTGGCTCAAGCAAGAGCTGGAAGGCCCTGACTTGGTAGGCTTGAGTCAGTGTAAGGCTCCCGAATCAACCCCAGATCAGGCCTAGCCCCAAGCTGCCTCTTGTGAAAAAAAGGGGGGGACCGGGAGACCTCTAGTGATCAGGTTTTGGAGGCAGAGTCCAAGATCCATTCAGGGTGCAAACAGGGGGATTCCAGAGGCACAGTGGAGATTTTGTTGGTCTTTGTCTCCATTCAACAAACGTGGTCTTCGCAGGCCTGGACAAGGAAGCGCTGGAGCAGGACCTTGCTGAGCTTCGCCTTTTTGACACGTGCACATGGCGCAAAGATATGCTTGGAGCAGTTCCAGCAGGCCCCTCTCCCCAACAAACTCGGCCCCTACAAGCCCCAAGCCCAAGTCAGCAACAAAACCCAACTTCAGCTGCGAGAAGTGGCCGCGTTCTATACCCCGAGCCTCGCACGCAGGAGTCCATACTTGTGAGGCGCCGGGGATGGATGGCTAGGGGAGCAGCAGATAAGTCGCAGCAACACCTGATGACTTGAGAATTACTCGGCTTCTCCATGCGCAGTGCTGTTCGGAAGGTTCGATGAGGAATCACACCCGCAAGTCTGAACCAAGAACTCTAAACCCTAAACCCTAAACCCTAAACTCTAAACCCTAAACCCTAAACCCTAAACCCTAAACCCTAAACCCTAATTCCTAAAGCCCCTCATGCCACCCGAAGCTCCTCATTCAGCCCAGGGCCTATGTCTATCACCAGCCCCTGGATGACAAAGCAGACTACTCCAAAGCCTTTCCAGGCGCCCCGGGGTGGATTGAACATGGTTGTTTAGGGTTTAGGGTTTAGGGTTTAAGGTTTAGGGTTTAGGGTTTAGGGTTTCCTGAATTGAAAGCCCTTGCAGCTCGAATTGTGGGAAGCATCTCTTGAACTCTGGGCCTAACGCAGGGTGGTTGCTGAGATCAGACATGGCCTCTGTTCCAGGCGGTGACTGGCTGGCATCACGCAAAGATGCAAAGTGTGGCTGAGCGTCGCAGACTAGAGGGCTTTGGTTGGATTTAAAGGCATGGGTCTGTGCGATTTTACTACATTCGAATGAAAATACTGCACCAGAACGTGAAACCATGAGCAGTAGCCGTCAGGACGTCGTGTGGCTCGAGGAAAGCGCGTAGCGATGACACCGATGCCCGAATTCTCTGTCGAGTTACTCACGAGTATTTGGCCGATTCCAAACCACTGTGTAGCATTGCTTCCCGTCGACGTTTTCATCCATGAGCACGTGTAGCCACTTCCAGCCTCGTGGCCACTGGGCCCCCAGCAGCCAGCATACTTGAAGTCGGCTTCAATCGTCCTTTTGGTTTCTTGCGAGCAACTTTGGTGAGCTAGCTGGCTGTTCATCATGGCGCCGGCGGAGCTCGAGACCTATGCCACGCGGCAGCAACGCAAGACCGAAGCTGCACTCATGTGAGCATCGGACGCAGAAGCAGCGTAGGGTTATGAGGCCAGAAGGCTGGTCGCTCTCCATCTGTCCTGACTACATTGACTACATCCCTCCCTCATCCCCTCTCTCGCATCCCCTCCGTCATCCCCTCTCTCGCATCACCTCCTCATCTCTCCCTCTCCATCTCCCTCTCCCTTAACCGCCTCTCTCCCCCCTCTCTCCCCCTCCTCGCCCCTCTGTCTCCCCTCCTCTCTCCCCTCTCTCCCCCTCTCTCTCCCCTCCTCTCGCTCTTTCCCGCTCTCTCTTGCTCTCTCCCTCTCTCTCTCGCTGTCGCTCTATCTCTTTCTCTCTCTCTCTTTCTGTCTGTCTCCCCTCTTTATCTCCTCTCTCTCTTTCTCTCACCCTCCCTGCTCGTCTGTCTGGTACCCACAGGCTTTCAATGCTGCGGCGCACTCAGCTGTTCAATCACAGCATAACGAGTGTAAGATCTTTCGAAGATCCTAATTGGCAAGCAGGAGAAGAAGTTCATGAGAAGGGCCCATCTCTGGTCTGCCCTTAGGACATCAGCCAGTTGATGTCCCTCATCATCAATGCCTTTTACACCAACAAAGAGATCTTCCTGCGAGAGCTGACGCTGGCCGGTTTGAGGGTTTTTTTTTTTTTTTGTTTTTTTGTGGGTTGCTGTTGGCGGGCCCTCTTCTGCTCACTTCCTACTCTTAGGGCCCTCTGAGCCCTAGAAGGGTAGCTCTCTAAGCTAGGCTCCCTTTTTTGGGTTCCTCTATTTACGATGGATCCCTAAGATAGACCCCCATATAGTGCGGCAGGACCCAAAGAGACCCTGATTTAGGGAAATGTCCATAAACCTTACAAACCCTAAACCCTAAACCCTAAACCCTAAACCCCTAAACCCTAAACCCCTAAACCCCTAAACCCCTAAACCCCTAAACCCCTAAACCCTAAACCTTACAAACCCTCTGACTCACCCTTGACAAGCCGAGGATCTCCAACGCCTCCGATGCCCTGGACAAGATCCAGTTTCAGGCCTGAGCCCTAAACCCTAAACCCGAAACTCCCTAAACCCTAAACCCTAAATCCTAAACCCGAAACCCCTAAACCCTTAACCCTGTTTGGGCGTGCTGCCTTCTACGCCCCCACTGCAAGCGAATCCCTGAGCCCCAAACCCCACACCTACGAGAGTTGTTCCGAAGTCCCTTCCTGGGGAGACCCCATTGTTGAAATGAGTAATCAGGCATCTACAAAGGGACCTCGTCTGCAGAATCACCCCGCCCCCCCTTCCACCGAACTGTAAAAACTAAACCCTACACCGTATCCCTAAACCCCCAAGCGTTAAACCCCTAAACCCTAAACCCCGAAACTTTTAAACCCTAAACTTGGAGGCCTCCACGGATGCTTCCAAGCTGGATGCGGAACCGAACCTGTATATCAAGGCGGGTTTAGGGTTTAGGGTTTAGGGTTGAGCGTTTAGGGTTGATGAACCTTTGCAGCGATTCGTCTGCAGCTTCGGCTATGTAGCCAAACTTCTCAGCTTCTAAGCCCTAAACCGCCAACGCCTAAACCTTAAGCCCTTGACTTCTTCAGCCCCCCCCCCCCCCCCCCCCACACACACACACACACACACACACACACACACACGCCCAAATCCGAAACAACCTAAAACATGTGAACCCCAAATCCCAACCACGGCGTAAAACCTAAACCCTAAACCCTAAACCCTTAGCCCTTAGCCCTAAACCCTACACCGCTGGTGAGAGAGAGAGAGAGAGAGAGAGAGAGAGAGAGAGAGAGAGATGCAGGTGACTCCCGACAAGGATGCTGGCTCCCTGGAGGGCCCTCACTTGGGATTTAGGGAGTTTAGGGTTTAGGGTTTCTAGAGTTTAGGGTTTAGGGTTTTGGGTATAGGGTTTAGGGAGTTTAGGGTTTAGGGTTCGGGTTGAGGGTGTTAGTCATCGGGTTTTAGGGTTGGGTTTCTGCCTTAGGATGTTAGGGTTTAAAGTTTTAGGCTGAGACTTTTTACGGTTTAGGGCTGTAGGGTTTTAGAGGTTCATTGAGAAAATATAGCGTTTAGGGTTGTATGGTCAGGGCCCTTGCGTATGTCAAACGCGTTGCGGCGTGTTGTGCAGCGTTGGGCAGGAGAGCCTCCGCCTTAGGTTTTTTGGGCTTTAGAGTTTTGATGCTGTTGAGGGCCTTCGAAACTTTTGAAGGTTTAACATCAGAGCTACTTATCGGGTTTAGTGGCTTTTTGGGGTGACGTTAAGGATGCTCAGGGTTTTGGTGTTGAGGGTTTTGGGAGGCTTGCCTTTGTTAAGCCCTAAACCCTAAGCACCAATTGAAAGTGTCTTGAGGCCGGGACAGTCACCGTGGAGGATACAGGTATTGGCATGACCCGCGAGGTGGGCGGAGCACAACGGCTTTAGGGTTTTTTGGGGGGGGTTGAGGGTTTAGGGTTTGGGGTTTGGGGATTTAGGGTTTGGGGTTTAGGCTTTAGGCTTTAGCGTTTAGGGGCTAAACCCTAAAGTTCAGGGCTTAGCTCCTAAGCCCTCAACCCTACAAGCCGTCAGGGTTTTGCAGACTTCGGGTTCAGGGGGCCCCACGTGGCGACGCAGGAGATGATCCTGCACCTGGGAACCATTGCCAAGTCGGGAACCAAAGCGTTTATGGAGGCAGAGGGTGTGGGACTCCCACTTCCCACCCCCGCAGTTTGGGGCTCAGGAGGGGGTTTGGGGCCCTCAGCCCTAGTTGTTGCTTTGAGAACCGAAGATCCTGAACACGGGCCAGGCAGTCTCCTCGGGCGCCGACATGTCCATGATCGGCTGCTGGCTCAGAAGCCAGGTCTCAAATTCGGTTCATCCGAAGTTCTCATGGCTGCATGCCAAGCGTGCAATGCTGGCGCAAAGCCACGGAGACGGAGACCCATCTCAATCGTTTACTTTATATCAGTGATGCTCCTGTCGTGGCCTGTCCTGGAAGACCGAGTCTAAGGTCAGTTCGGCGTGGGCTTCTACAGTTCACAGCTTGGTGTTTTTTTTTTTGGGGGGGGGGGGGGGGGGGGGGGCGGGGAGGTGGGCAGTTGGGCGGAGGGGTAGATTGGGAAAGGTTTGCGACGTGGCGCAGTCTACCAGTTGCTGGTGCACGGTACTGTATTGATCACTCTCTCTCGCTAAAGCTTTTCATCCTAGGTGTACAATTTAAGTAAACATGTAGTGTTCGACAACCATAGCAGCGGAGATACTTGCTGGGGCGAACATCCCCCTCCTACATGTACAGAGGTTCCTACCTGGTTTCGGAGAAAGTGCGCGTTGTCTCCAAGAGCAACGACGATGAGCAGTACGTTTGGGAGTCAACGGCAGGAGGTGCACAGATTTCTACATGTTCTTTATGATCATATCAAGAAGCGTAAATCATGTACACAAGCCCTAAACCTCACCTCTGAAAACCCTCCTTGCATTCTGAGCATTTTGATGTCCGGAGTGCATGATATGGGTACTTCTCTCTAGATTAGGGTACCTTTTTGTGGGTCCCGTTTGGGGTCGCCCCAAAAGGCGCGCGGCAACCTAATAGTTAATCACCAGGCTCATAAGGACCCCCGGATTTTGCGAAGTACCGATCTTACTGTTTCAGTGCAACACTTTCAGAGAGCACAGCGTGTGGGCCAGGCACCTTCTTGATTTGGAAGGACCCCCGCAGAGAGAGCCAGAGATTCGCTAAGCTGGCAACATTTGCCCTTGGACTTGTTCAGTGAAGTCGTTCACGCTGGAGGGCACCACCCTGTAGCCTTGCCCCAGGACACCACCTTCGAACATGGCGTGCTCAAACGGGGTACCAAGGCAAGCAGCTTTCACGGCTTGGGGGCTTCCAGGGCCGCGAGGGTGGAGGGATTTGGGGATTTGTTCAAACGGCTCGAATGAGGGCTTAGGAAGGTTTTGTGTGTTGATTCTCTTTGAAGGTCTTCCCTCCTTCCCTCTGAAGCCTGGGAAGTCGAAGGGTAGTTTCATGGGCTCTGAAGATGGTCCCTTACCTTCTTTTAAAGGGTTCTGAAGCATGGGCCCTTTGGTTGCATGGGGTATATAGAGGGGTGTATAAGGGATCCCCATTGAAGGCCCATACTAAAGGGGCCATGTAACTCCAGAACACTGGTAGGCTTTTTGTGGGGATTTAAGGTGGCCTGAGATTAAGGGCAAGTGCGCACAGCCCGGCACCCCATGAGGTGATCTGCTATCTCAAAGATGACCAGGCTCGCAGTGCTTCTGAGAGCGGTAGTTGAAGAATAACACCCCCCCGACCCCCTAAGCTCCTACACTCCATGAACACCTTATTCCCAAAACCTTGAGCCCTAAGCCATATTACCTATACCTTAAAAAAGGCAACATGCCGGATTCTTGCAAGCCACTGCTTTCCCAAGTCTGTCCACCCCTTAAGTGAGTTGTTCGGAGTGCCAGCAATGAGGCCGAATTCTTGGAGTCTGACCGCCTCAAGGACGGCACACCCGCGGTGTTGGGGGGCCCCCTCCAGCAATCTGCTGAGTCCTCAGGAGCTCATCATGAAGCACTCCGCTTTTGTGGGCTTCCCCATTGACCTGCGCATGGAACATCGGAAGGCGTGTGCCGGGACGTACAGGGTTGAGGCTTTCGGGGGGACTTCCCGGGCTTTCAAGGGTTTAGGGGTGGTAGGTCCGTGTACTGGAGAAGGGGCCGGTAAAGGGAAGATGCTGCTTCATCTTTCCTCTCGCGTCCTACTGATCACGAAGCTGCATCGGCCAGCAAGGGAAGCCATCTGAAACCACAACTACCTCTGACATGAGGGTCTTAGGTTGGGATGTTCCCCCTTGTACTATCAGTCCTGAATAGGGATTATAGTACCCCTAGGAGAACCGGTATTTAGGACTGTTCGCATAAGGGGAACCATCCCAAGTCTTATATCACCAAATTTATGGGTGGCGCGCCTCGATGGCTGGAAGTGAAAGAACGGCTAGAGGGTTCAGGCTTATCAGGTTTAGGGTTTAGGGTTTAGGGTCTAGGGCCTAGGGCCTAGGGTTTAGGGTTTAGGAGGCCCATCACAGCTTTCTTGGGTTCTTGGGTCTCTGGCTCCATTCCCGCCCACCCATGAGGCGTGTTCCAGACTCCTCAAGTCTACGGATTTTGGTACAGTACCTGAAAGAGCCTCTGAGTTCGTGTTTGGGGTACCGACTTCCTAAGTCGTGCTGCACGTGGAACCCCCCGCTGCCCCAAGATTCTGAGGAGGAGGACATCGAGGTTCATGAGGAGGGCGAGGAGGTTCCGGAGAAGCGGCGGAAGGCCCTACTATATTTATTAAGGTTCTAAGGGGAGTATAGCCTAGGGAACTGGGCCATTAGGGTTAGGGGTCTGAGGCTTAGGGTTTACGAGGTGTTGGTAGTTTCGGGATTCAGGGTTTGGGGTTTAGGATAATTTTGCCGTCAGGGATGCGGCGTGATTCTATCTTCGTCTTTTTGAGCAACAGTTTAAGCAGCAGGGATTAGGGTTGAGGGTTTAGGGTTTCGGGAACATGTTGGGCGTTTAGGTAGAGCTAGATGGGACCCCAAAAGGACTGCATCTCTTGACACCGCAACCGTTATCCCTGTACCCCAAGTACCCCATCTAACACAGGTCCTTGAAGACTTAGCAGAAGTATTCCATCCGAATCCTTGCGTCTGCAGGTCACTGTCAGCTACTCTTGGGTGGCGGCCTGAGCTGCCAATCTGGGTGTTAGCAGCTTGGAGAAGCTGCGCAACAGGATTCAGGATTCGATGGGTTCCACAACTGCTTGTTTCACTGCCCCACAGGAGCTGATCAACAAGAACAAGCCATTGTGGCTCCGGCCGGCATCCGAAGTCTCGCATCAGGAGCGGCTTCTTTCAAACCTTGATGGAAGGTTCAAAGGGTCTGTAGGATAAGCAACTGTCATGTTGTGCCAAGTCCACCATGCCCGTCCCCTTCCAGGAGTACGCGGAGCTTTACAAGTTCCTCTCTGGTGATTGGGAGGCTCGGAAACCTCAAGCAGCCACCAGCACGCAAACCTTCAGAGAACCAGGGTCGCGCAAGTCTTTTCCTACCAGGGATCAGCCTGTAAGAGGGGCAGGCGTTGGGGATGCAAAGCCGTTGATACCACTCACTGCTGTCACTTCCCGGCAGCACTTTTTTGCAAAAGCCATCTCCGCATAGCAGGATCATCTCGCGGTCAAGCATGTCATGCAGAGCGGCCAGGCCTGTTAGACGCCTCTCATGAAGGTTGTCACAAGCTGTGAAGCACTCGTCCGCCGCAACCTGCATGGTGAAGGCATTCTGCTCAGAAAAAATCTCCACTGCTTCTTGGAAGGTTGACTTCAAAGCGCTTCTATACTGTCCGACCACAGCGCCCAAGGAGACCCTGTGACCTCCAAGCCCACTTTTGCAGGGAAATCTTCAGCCACTTATTTCGAAGAGCCGACTCTAGTTCCCCTCGGCTCTCTAAGGGGAGTTTAGTTTTAGACTCAGTTCAGCACTCGGGCGACCTACCCCTACCCTAGCCGCCACAGTAGCGTGCCTGGGCGATACAAGCTGCGGATGACCGTCCGTGCATCCCGTAGTCAGAAAACTGTTTGTCTTGCGGGTGTCTGTGGATGGTTCCGGGCACCACCCAGGTGGTTTTTGTGCTTATGAGTGAGTCCTTGGGCGCCAGGACATGTTCGACATGGGCAAGATGTCGCAGCGATTCAGCATCCGGCTCTACGTTCGCAGGCCTCCTGGCAAGCCTGAGTAATCCCCAAAGCGCCCCCCAAAGTGCCCCTTAGAGTGCCCGAAACCCTAAACCCTAAACCCTAAGCCCTAAGCCCTAAGCCCTAAACCCTAAACCCTAAACCCTAGACAGGGTGTTCATCAAAGAGTTCAACGACCTCATCCCCAAGTGGATGGGCTTTGTGAAGGGCATCGTTGACAGCGATGACATGCCTCTCAATATCAGCAGAGCTGCTTGGCCATGAGACGTCCTTTCCTGGCCCTGGATCCAATTTGAAGCCTATAAGCTGTTTTCTGACTGCTTAGGGTTTAGGGATTCATCTTAATCCTGTTAGAACTGCCTCCAGGGCCCAAGTTGGCTCCTCTCAGTCCGTATAGCTTGTTGCCAAGGAGATGCTGCAGCAGAATGCCATTCTGTGCCTCGGCCGGATATCGACGGGGCTCCGGTTCCGACTCGGGAACCCGACTTCAAGCGTCGGGGCTTTCTTTTCTGTGTCTACTTAACATTCCACAAATACCTGTGCATGACACAGTTGTCCTGAGGAAGCACATCAAGACGGGCTTGCAGAAGAATATCTTCAGCATGTTCGAGGAACTCTCTGCCGTTGCTCGGATTGCAGCCACCAGAGCTTGCGCCGACTTAAGATTTAGGACTTCGGGTAAGAAGTCAGTTGCAGCCCCTCTACAGCAGGAAGCTCCGTTCTCCAGGATCCCGGAAATTAAACCATGAATGCCCCCCTCCCCCCTCAGGGTCCCTCGATGATGTGCTTCGGGCCCAGGACAAAGAACGCTTTCGATCCTTCCACGAAGCTTTCTCCCAATGCTTGAAGCTCGGTGTCTACGAGGACTCCATGGCACACGTGATTTCAGGGCCTTAGGTTGCAGACTCGTTTCTCACTCTTGACAACAGCAGAAGTTCAATCAGCAGCCAGCACCAACATCCTGACAGTCCACCCGATCGTTTTCCATGCGAAGCTAACGTGCAAACGCGCAGGATCATGCCAACAGGGAGCAGATTGTGCCCCTGTTGAGATATCACTCTTCAAAGTCTGGAGAGGACAGCCCAGCAGCAGGTTTCGGGATTCTTTTTCTTTGCTCGTGCCGCACGTACATAAGCATCCGTCCAGGGTCCAGGCACTTCGTTGCCTCTGATTCCCCCTCGAGCACGAAGCCCTGTGAGATCTTGCGTCGTGCAGGAGATGGTGGGCTTTGATGATTACATTGCCCGGATGAAGCCAGGCTGGATGAAGGGTTGGACACCTATTGTTTGGTTTTTGGAAGGGGGCGCGGCATCATTAGCGCCAGGGGGACCTTGCTCGTTTTGCAGAAGTTTTGTGGGGTGCACAGTGGACTTGACTCTTCAGCCCCACACCCCAAGTGTGCCTGTTGAAGCCTACACTGCCTACACCTGAACATGCAATTAAAACATACAAGGGCCTTCAGAAGTACCCGCCGATGTTCCATAGGTTGCGGGAACGAAAGGGCCCCCAAAGCAAACCGATCATGAAAGCATTGCAAGGGAGCCCAGCCGGCCCCAAGTTCAATTTACTTAAGCTTGTACACTTTACTTTAAAACATGCAACGTGAGATGTACCTATGAATCAGAAAACCCTAAACCCTAAACCCTAAACCCTAAACCCTAAACTTGCCCTAAACCCTAAACCCCAAACCCTAAACCCTAAACCGCCTAAACCTTAAACCCTAAAAGGCCAGCGGCACATCTTGTACATCACTGGCAGAACCAAGCGGGATGCCGCGCGCTCGCCCTACATCGAGGCTGGGTGAGTGGCAAGAGTAGGGCAACGTTGAGCTGGGGGTTTAGGGTTTAGGGTTTGGAGTTTAGGGAGATGGGGACAGGGCCTGAAGCGCGATGGCTACGAAGTGATCTACATGACGGACCCGGTCGACGAGTACGCCGTCCAGTTCCTCAAGGATCGCCGTCGAAGCGGTGAGATACTTTTGCTCTGAACTTGGTGGCTTAGGGCTTAGGGTTTTGGGTTTAGGTTTAGGTTTTAGGGTTTAGGGTTCGGGGTGTAGGGTTTAGGGTTCGATCCATTCTGGCTCATTTGGGCCACGCGTCGCCCTACAGAATGCAGAAGTTGTCGCACTGGGTGGGGGTCGCCAGGAGTATCGAGGCTATGAGGTGCTCAGCTGCAGCTCGGCAAAACGTTTAGGGTTTAGGGTTTAGGGTTTAGGGTTTAGGGTTTAGGGTTTAGGGTTTAGGGTTTAGGGTTTAGGGTACACGAGATTTTTGCGACTGCTCCGCTTTCTTCCCCCCCCTCCCCCCTTCATGGTATCCCCCTCCCGCATGGCAAGCCCGCCCCCCAACCCGAAACAACCCCAACCCAGCGCGAACCACGGAAAAGGAGACCTAAACCTTAAGCCCTGACCTCATAACCCCAAACCCACTATGAACCACGCGAGGCAGAGTGAAAACCCCTCAGCCTTAAAGCCAACTCCTGGGCCCTAAGCTCTAGACATGTCGTGAATGCTGCGTGAATACATACTCCTTTTGTAAGAGTACAGCTACTTTACCAACGAACCCACAACAGCAGCCGCCCACCGCCCCCCCCCCCCCCCCCCCCCCCTCCCCCGGCTTTAGGGTGCTTGCTTAGTTTGGTTCAGGAACTTGAAGTCCGCTACCGAAATCAAGACAGCATAGTCTCATTCGCTAATATGCGCTACTGTACGCCCCCAAATCTGGTAACTTAACTTAAGTTCCTCAACACCAACCCAGCCAACGGTGCCGAAGTCCCGAGGCATGAGCATGGACGCGGCGCGGCTTCTGGATCATCGGTCGGAGGCCGATCTCAAGGCCCCCGGATTTTGGAGGAGACGTAGGTGTTAGGCTCTATGAGACAGGGTGCTTAAACCCTGAACTCCTAGAATGTCCGAAGCCCGAAGCCTAGAGCCCTAAACTCCCTAAGCCCTCAATCCCCCCCGCCTCAACCCCCATAAAACCCCAAAGGCCCCTTAAACCCCTGAACCCAAAACACGGAAGCACCTAAACCCCGCGAATTCACGCCTGAGGCCGAGCTAGCGCCGCTGCAGCGGCGGCTACAGGAGCTCGTGGGGCCGGGCGCTTAGGGGCTTTGGGGTTTGGGGAATCGCGGGGGTGGGGGGGGGGGGTGGTTTTCATTGGCGGTTTAAGGGGGGCTCGGGGTCCAGGGATTACGTCAACTCTGAAGCTCGTTGACGGCCAAAGGATCAAGACGAGTCACTGCCCAAAGCCCGAAAAGCACAGCCCACTCCCCGTCCCTCCCCTGGCCTTCTCCAAACGAAAGGTTAAAACAAAAAGCAGCAAAACACCCTGGAAGCCCCTAGCACCCACCACGTGAACAGGGCCCAGCAGACGGTAGCTCTGGCGGCCCTCAATCCGGAGTGCTGCGCGCAACTTGCCAGCTCAGACCAGGCCTGAGGGGTCGTTTTCAGCGCTGGGATATCGAGGCTTATGGGGGGGGGCTCTTGGGGTCTTGCTGGTTTTACGGGGCTTAAAATATTCAATATAGTGTGTTGTATATATATATATATGTATGTAGAATCTCTTATATATGTATGTCTATGTATATATATATATATGTATATTGAATATGTTTGTCTATTTGCCGTCGGGCTTGTGGTTGGGTTTTTGATGTCGGGCTCGAAGGCAGAGCTGAGTGCAACCGCAGCAAAGAGGTGTTGTGCGACTGTGTCGAGGGGTCAAGATTCGCTGCCGCAGCTACCTGTACGTAGAATAATCGTACCTCTGGTCAAAATGGCAGTTCTCGTGATGATGGTGTGCCACGGTTGAACCTGAGCTGCTTTTCACAGCAGTCAATATGAGAGCAGTCTTCTCGGCGTCGACAGAGGCGAGATCGGAGCAGGTCAGACACGCTCAACTGGTTTTCGGTACTCTAAACCCTCAACCCTAAACCCGAAACCCGAGGCCCTAAACCCTAAGCCCTCAACCCCCAACCCTAACCCCTAAACCCCTAAACCCTAACCCCTAAACCCTGAAAGGCCAGGGAGCTCTGTGGGTATTGGGGGCCTTGCCTTGCTCCGCTTTGCAGGGGCCGCTGCTGCAGCTGAACTTCAAGCACAGCTTCGTGAAGGAGCCGGTGCCTGCAAGTGCTATCTTAACCCCCAGCCAGAACAAAGGCCCAAGCTACCCTAAACCTTAACCTTAAACCCCGTAAACCGTAAACCGTAAACCCTAAACCCGAAACCCCAAACCCTAAACCCTAAACCCTAAACCCTAAACCCTAAACCCTAAACCCTAACCCTAAACCCTAAACCCTAAACCCTGGGCTTGTTTATAAACGGTTGTTTTGAGCCTTCAAAACGAGAGGGGGGGTAGTCTAGGATCCCATGAGGCAGGGCGAACATTATCATACAGCTCTCGTGGACTTCTCTGCTCTCTTGTGCCAAGCATCCAGGAGCTCGGGAAGCATACGGCTCTGAGCCAGGCAGGCTGAGAACAACATGAGTCAATGAGAGGGGTGTAGGGTTTAGGCGGCTACTTGTCTGTAGGAAGTTTCGTAAGCCCTGGTTCTCATGACAGCATGCCAAAGAGAAGTACAGCCACATTGCAGTGTCATGGCAGTTCCCTATTTCAGAAACAGAAGGGGGAGTAAAGTCGATAGTTCATTGTTGTAGTTCGTCGCTGTCTTGATGTGCTTGTCTTGCTTCCATGGTAGTACATAACCCGAAAACCCTAAACCCTAAACCCTAAACCCTAAACCCTAAAACCCTAAAACCCTAAAACCCTAAAACCCTAAACCCTAAACAATAAACCCTAAACCCTAAACCCTAGGCCCTAGACCCTAAACCCGAAACCCTAAACCCTAAACCCTACTAAACCCTAAACCCTAAACCCAAGCCCCTAAACCCGTACCCGTGACAACGCAAGTCGGAGTGGAAAACGAGTCCCGTGCTTTGCTGCAGGGCGTCCAGCCTGCTGAGGAGCAGCTGGCTCTGAACATTTGCAGGCCAGGGTAGGCAAACCCAAAGCTAGGTGCCTAAGCGGCCCCTTACTCCTTGCCTTTTGTTTGGAGGGGCATGTCCGCTCCAGGGGTTTAGGGTTTGGGGTTTGGGGTTGGGGGTTTGGGGTTTGGGTTACCCTAAGCCCGGCCACTTCCAGCCACAGGGTTCTCCCGCTGCCAGGCTCCTGCAGGACATGGCTGCGCTGGAGGGCACGGATCCGGATGACCCCAGACGGGCCGACACGTGTGATAAGTGCCAGGACCACGGATGGTTGAGTGCTGGAGACCCTCATAGCATGTCTCTACAAGTGGGTTGTGCCGAGTGCGAGTGTGTGTGTGTGTGTGTGTGCGGGTGGGGCGGCAAGGACCTCATCCAGGCACTGAACGCCGGCGAGGCCGGGCCAGCTCCAGTGGCTAAGGACGAGGCCTAGATGCAACAAGGTCTGAACTTGGTGGTGCGCAGCTCTTGCCGTCTCGTTACACCGCATACCCACGATCAGTGTGACGGGCCTATTTATATCGCAGCATCTGCAGCGAAGTGGGTCATTGCAACGCTGCAAACGAGCCAACCCGTGTACGCATCAGTCCTTCCAACTCCATTGTACTACAACTGGCACTGACTGGTACACACAAGAGAGCCCCGATGAAAGGCTAATCTCTCCCGCAGCACCGCGAACTCTGCTGATTCACAGGCAAGCAAAGACGTCCACCATCCCTTTCCAGGCCGATGCGTCGGGGGAGCTGCCCACGCTGGGCGCAGCGGCGGTGGCGCGAGAGGCGGAGTTGGGAGGGCAGCTTGTGCATCGCAAGGCCATCCTTTTCCACCCCAGCCCCTGTTGTCTGTTGTTTTCCGTATGAATATATGTTCTGGCCTCCCAAGATCTACATTGAAACGTTGTAACCATTACTTGGGTTTGGGTGCAAGCACATGAAGAGTATATCTTCCGCAGCATCTTATCTTGCAGGGTCCTCCTCGCTGCCAGGCAACTCGGGAGAGGCTCGAGACCAGCGAGGGGAAGGTGCCGTGGAGAATGGTTGGTCTTCTCTTGACCCGATTCTGTCACTACACCCCCGGAATCTTGACCCATGATCCCCACTGAGTGACAGAGGCCATGCACTCCGTCAAGGATTCGAAGCAAAAAGCCGGGCTTGAGGTTGCTGAGGTCGGGGCCCTGTTATAAAGCCGCGCCAACAAGCGAAGGCGGATGCGGGCAGCGACCTCCTGTCCTGCGGCCGGCGTGTCCGCGTGGTGCGCAGGGAGCGTGCGAGGAGGGCCATGATCTCCTTTGTGGACGAGGCCGAGCTCATGCTCATAAGATGTACCCTTGAATTCATAGGGCGTGTGATGTGTGCCGCTATCGCCACGGCCCGGAGGATGCGAAGACCGTGGATGTCCTGTACCCGCAGCCCGTGGCATCAGGAAAACAGGACTGCCATGGCGCATGGAGAGCTTTGAGCTCATGTAACCTGTCAAGCTCCAATGGAAGACCCCCAATCCCCAAACCCTGAAGAAGCCATGCAAGGCCTATAGACCCCAATAAATGGGCTCCGCAAACGCCACATGCACCCTGTTCACCCTGCAAGCCCTGCAAGCCCTGAACCGCGCCCTCCAAAATTCCTCCGAGCGACCTCGAAGCCTAAGCATGGGTTTTAGGGTTTAGGGTTAGGGCTTGAGGGTTTAGGGCTTTTAAAGAGGCTTTTAGGGTTTTAGGGCTTTAGGGTTTTAGGGTTTTAGGGTTTTAGGGTTTTAGGGTTTTAGGGTTTTAGGGTTTTCGGGTTCAGGGCCTCAGAATCCAGGAAGATGAGGAGGAGGGCGTGCCGGCAAAGTACGTCCAAGCCCTCCAGGTGGAGCCAGTGCGGGGTGATGCGGGGTGTGGGGGTGGGGGTAGGGGGGGGGGTTTAGGGTTCATAGTACAAAGGGTTTATAGCGTTTAGGGTTTTTAGGGTTTAGGGTTCAGGGCTTAGGGTTTGGGGGGTGGGGGGGGGGGGGGGGGCGGTGGGGATGGAATGGTGTGGTGTTTGGGGTTTAGGGTATTTGGGGTTTAGGGAGGTCTAAGGTTCATGTGTGTTTTGAGTTGAAGGGTTGAGGGTTGATTGAGGACCTAAGGGCCTAAGGCTTGGGGCGTTAGAGGGTTTAAGGCGTGTAAAGGTGTTAGGGGTGTAAGGCTTCGAGTGGAGGGGTTTAGGGTTTTGGGGCTTGTGGCTTCTCTCTTCCAAATGCCCCCCAGACCACGCACAGGGGCCCGGCCCGTAAAGGTGCAACCCCCCGGCACGGAGACCCCAGACTTTACAAGTTCGCTTTGCAGGTTTCTCACCCCTGAAATATGGAGACGAGCCCTCCAGCACAGTGGAAAAAGGGCATTCCCCAAATTAGGGGTACCCTTTATCCTATATACCGCCAAATATTCTCATGCTTCTTGTAGGAAACCCCCAAAAGGGCACCCCCGATTTTCGGAAACCACCGCAGTGTCCTTGTGGGTGCGTACCGGAGATTCGACTAGTGCTGCCAGGACTTCGAGCTGACTGCCGCGCCCTCCGAGGCAGCGCATCCCTGAGCACTTGATTGCAGACCTCCACGCCGCACCCTACTAAGAGCAAGCATTGCTATACTTGGCCGAGAGTAAACATAATAGTTATAATAGCACTAATGGTAAACACAGCAAGAACAGCCCAAGAAAAACATTTACAACCAGTAATACAGCTAAAAGATGTAATGACAGTTCTGAATAAGAACAGTAGAGGCAGTAGTGACCGCAAAGGTTGCAAGAAGAATAACGACAACTGGCTGTGCATTGGAGGAAGGCTCAAACGTCAAGAAACTCGACGCCATGTGTACTTGCTTGAGACTATTTTAGGACAACCTCAGAACTGCGAGTGAGAACCTTTTTCTTGTTTTTACCTTCCTCATAAAGTCAAAAACCTCACCAGCATCACGAAAGCCCTTAGCCCCAAAAGCCTATGCCCTAAAAACAGCAAGCTCTAAGCTGTTTTACCAGAGCGCTCTCGACACGACGGTGCCTCACAGATGTGGGGGCTGGTTGTTGCCATGAGTCCTTGATTCTGTCGCTCCTCAGTTGCACGGCCTCATAGGGCACGAGTAGATGGAGGAAGGGAGGACCAAGTCAAGACCAAATCGAGGTGTCCCAGTCAAATGGCGATATTGCGATGGGAGATGTTTTTTTCCCCGCGGTGGCAACGATGGCCGAGTTCTTGCATTTGCGACAAACTCAGTGCGTCCTCCGATCGCTGGGACTAATCTGATCATCTTGGGAATCTTGGGCCCAACACTAGGCAGGATGTTGGCTGGCTGGCAAGCTGGAGTTGCAGGGTTAGGCGAGCTTCAGACAAAACAGCGAATCGCGGCGCAAGTCGCCACCAGGGAATAGACGCAAGTGAGGCCAACACAGGTAGTTTGAAATTCATCAGCAGAGTAGCAAACATGCAAGAAAGACAAGCAAATAGATGCAACTCACAAGTGTTACAACGCATGAAGACGAGTCAAACACTTCAACCCCCCCTCACGGTTTTGTAGGTAATCAGAGAACAAGGAGCCGTTTCTTACAAGAGTGTCTAGAGATGCTTAGGACTTCGGGGTTGCACCAAGCAGAGTGCTCATGTGGAGGTCGATGTGAGGTAGTTTCAGCGGCTTGGAGAAGCAAGCTTGGAATGTCGGTCATCCGGTTGCCAGGACAGCCTCTTCAAATCTGCAACTGCGGATAAGGAGCGTGGGAACCAGTCCCTCAGCCGAACTTGGATCAGAGAATGTGGCATAGGCTAGCATCTGAGTGCAAGCAGGTGGGCTGCTGCGTTATTGACATTATGCCCTGACATTGATCCACTGCAGCAGTCTGCTAGGCTGTTCAAGCTCAAAGACTACGAGGCTGCACCGGCTGGGATTTGTGGTTTTGTGCTCCCGATGATTCAAATAGGTCCACAACCTCGAACGCCGTGAGCCTCAACCCCCCAACTTCCAATGCCAAAGCCATCGACAGCCGTCGACGTCCCAAAACATCTCCAGTCGCCAATCCTTTCGCCCCGTAAGCCCCAAAGCCCAAGAACAGTTCTTTAATCCCAGAAGCACCCCCCCCCCCCCCCCCCCCCCCGAAAGAAAGGAAACCTTAAGCATCCTCAAGAACGCCGCCTTGATCAAACCCCATACCCCAAGCCCCAAACCCCTAAACCCTAGCGCTAAACCCAAAACCCTAAACCGTAAACCGTAAACCCTAAACCCTAAACCTAAACCCTAAACCCTAAACCCTAAACCCTCAATAGACCCCTAAACCCCTACAAGCAAGGCGGCCTCCGAGTTCTACGGCGCCGCCTTAGCGCGCTTCGCGGCGCGGCCCGTGGGCCGCGGGGAGCAGGTGCTGCTGAGGCCCGGGCTTGGAAGTGTTTAGGGTTTAGGGTTTAGGGTTTAGGGTTTAGGGTTTGGGGTGTTAGGGTTTCGGGTTTTAGTGTTTGGGGTTTTAGAGTTTAGGGTATAGGGTTTTGTGGTTTGGGAATTAAAGATGGTATCGTAGGTGGGTCTTTCCCCTCGGAGTTACGAGGGTGGACCCTTGAGATACAGGACAGTTAGAAGAGTGACCGTTGGGGCTGTTTGGTGAGAATGCTTTGGACTCTCATGTTCTGCCAAGCCTACAGAAAGCCATCCTAAACCCCCAGACCCTGGACCCTAAACTCCAAGCTCTAAACCCCCTTCCCCCCCCCCAAGCCTTCATCACATCACAGCGAGGCGACAAGATCCCGAGAAGGACCGGCAAAGTCCTTGGCCTTGGGGGTGTTGTGAAATTGGGGCAACGAAAAGTTCTGAACATGGGGTTTGTGGGCTTTGGATTGCGGGTGTATGTGCCCCTGTAGACCATTTCTATGAAGTTCAGGTAAGCTCCTCGAGGTGAAAGCCGGCGCGCAAGAGCGAGAATGCTCAGCCTCTCTGCCCCCGCAGGAGGGGAAATCTGCGCTGGCACTAGCGACTGCCACTTGTCTGTGAACCGAGAGTGTTTTGACTTGGCAGTGACCTTGCATGCCCTGTAGGTGGGTTCCGCTTCTCGGGGAGTCTGGCATGGCATGCCGGGGGTGTGTCAGCTTCTATTCCTTGTTTCGAGACTTATCCTAAGACGAAAGCCAGCGGTAAAGCGTTGTCGCGGCCCTTGAGATGCAGCTGAGGTGTTGTCCGTGGACTCCGAGGGCCTTTGCGAGCTTTCCAATGGAGCAGAACTGCCAGTTACCCGCTTGAACTGTCAGGATCACGAGGTTTTTGTGCCTTCTGCTACTGTTGGAGGTGGTTTGTAAGGAACCTGCGAGGGTCTTCTGTCAATGCAGGAACGTTCAACACCCGGGCTTGTGCCCAACAGATCTAGACTGTGAGGTTCAGTAGGTAACACACACACACACACACTTCCACAAGGGAGGAAGCTGAATGCCCAGAGATGTAGGACATGACGTCGGAAGGCAGAGGAGTCACCTCCTCCTCCCCTCACTGTTCAAAATGCGTTCCCAGGCTGGCGACCTGCTCCCAGTTTGTCAAGAGCTGCTTCCTCTGCACACATCCCTGTACATGCCCCTCGGACTTGAGCCGTGATTTGTTCTTAGGCCTTGGCCTCAGATCCTAGTCTTGAGCCACAACCCAGGAGAAATAGGAGCAGTACCCCTACTAAGTCCGAGTCCTTCTAAGGATGCTTAGCCCCGATATCTCTCGATTCTAGACCGCTTGGCAGGAACAGGGCCCGATGCAGGCAGAACCTCGGTGGCTTGGCCCAGAAAGTAGAATGTAGAATATTCTATCTCTCTCTCGCTCTCTCTCTCTCTCTATATATATATATACACATATGATGTATGATATATTAGCATATTATGGAGAGCCGGTTTTAACGTTGTCTGCAAGATAGGATCTAGAACATGCAACATTGAACTGCTAGCGACAGGTGTGAAGCCGACGCCCTGACGCCCTAAGTCTGCGAAGCTTTCCTGCTACCTCCCCACAGAGTTTAGGGTTTGGGGTTTAGGGTTTGGGGTTTGGGGTTTCGAGTTTGGGGTTTTGAGTTTGGGGTCTAGGGTTTCTGGTCGAGGTCGGCATGAAGAGGCCGCCCAGGACGCTGGATGAATCGGCCCCTAGGATCACGCGCGCTTTTGTCCTGTCTTGCTCTCCACACCACTGCTGCTACTGCTGCTGCTGCTGCTGCTCCTTCTTCTATTCGCAGTGCCCGGCTTGGATTCCTTAAAGGGTTTTAATAGGGTTTTAATAGGGTTTGAATAGGGTTTGACTAGGGTTTGAATAGGGTTTTAATAGGGCTTTAATGGGGTATCCAAGGCATTTGGAGTGCAGCTTAGCGAAGTTCGGCTCGAGGGGCTCCTTCTTCAGGCTACACCCTGCATCCTCCTCAGCAAACAAAAGTCCCGCGCAACCCGAGGCTAAACCCGTAAACCCTTAAACCCTATTAAAACCCTATTCAAACCCTATTAAAACCCTATTCAAACCCTATTAAAACCCTATTCAAACCCTATTAAAACCCTATTCAAACCCTATTCAAACCCTATTAAAACCCAATTAAAACCCTATTAAAGCCCTATTGAAACCCTATTGAAACCCTATTGAAACCCGATTAAAACCCTATTGAAACCCTATTGAAACCCTATTGAAACCCTTAAACCCTATTAATCCTAAACCCTATTAAAACCCTCCTAAGCCCTAAACCGTAGGACCTCACCGCCGTGCTTGGGCTCTGGCAAGCCGTCGCCCCCCGGTGGCCAAACTCGGCGCCCAAACGTTAGGGTTGAAGCTCGGGTTTAGGGTTTTCGGGTTTTAGGGTTTTCGGATTTTCGGGTTGTTGGGCTTTATCAAATATAGGGCTTAGGGCTTTATGGGTTTAGGCTTTTTTGGGGTTTTGAGGAATTAGGGGTTTAGGGTTTTGAGGTTCATTGTTTTAGGGCTTGAGGGGGGTTGGGGCTTTCATTCTTCTAGGGTCTCTAGACACCTGAGTTGCAGTTGCAGTGGCAGGGTCTAAGTGGCTTCAGGGGGGTAGTTCCAGTCGAGGGGCCCAGGCTTTGGGCCTCCAGGGAGTAATTTCAACTCCTCTGAGCCCCTCCGACAAAGCCCCAACGCCTTTGTAAACTAAAGCCGGTTTGAGATTTGGGGTTCCTCTAATATCAGGATTCCACCCCCCCCCGCCTATTTTGGTGAAATGCTCATTTTGGTTCTTTGAGGGTTGGTGCCATGTAGCCTTGCCGTAGAGGCTGCAGTTTGTGGGGCGATGTTTGTATTCCCCTGTTGGCTGAGGACAAGCGCATGCTGCAGGCGGACCCTGAGATGAAGGAAGCCGAGGTGAAAGGCACCTTTCTGCGTAAACCCTAATGGGTGTGCTGTCGGGTTTCCATTCTTCGTCTTCGGGGCTTCAGTGGACCTTAACCTGTGACCTTTCGAGTTCGAGGGGCTCCTGGTCGCCCTTTCTCAGCCCCCATGCACAGGCCTTTACACGGCCGAGTACTTGCGAGCACGCTCCAGGCACCAGCTTGCGACAGCATGACAGGCGACATGAAGGAAACAAGCGCCAGAGCATCCAGTGGGCTGTGCAAGCTGCACCTCAACCTGGAGGTGTGTTCTGCACACCAAGAGAGAGAATGCAACCTGCAACCTTCCTGCAGGTATGCCCCTTAGTTCGCGGTTGAGACAAGACTGTGCCAGGCTTGCGCGGGGCTTGTCCAGATCGGCAGCGCAGGAGACACCTCACTCTCAAGTTGATCTGACGTATGGCAGTTGTGGTAAATCAGGGCCGCTTCTTGGCATGGTGCTCTTTTTGAAGATACAATAGGGCTCCTTTTGCAGAATCCCAGCCATGAGTGGACCCTGATTTCTAACCAAAAGTCCGCATGGAGTGGGGCGGGCCCGTAAACCCTAAACCCTAAACCCTACACCCTACACCCTAAACCCTAAACCCTAAACCCTAAACCCTTGGGGGCAGAGGCTGCCTGCGACTTACCCCTGCCTTCCGCCCCTCCAGCCCAGTGCGAGGACGTGAAGGATGCCCTGGCACGAAGCCCACCTGCCGCAACGGCCTTTCGGACGCAAGACGTCGCTGGGTTTAGGGTTTGGGGTTTAGGGTTTAGGGTTTAGGGTTTAGGGTTTAGGTCTTATCGTTATCATTCCCTTCCGCGAGGGTGGCCAGGTTTTTCTCGTGCGTTCGCGCTGGTTTCCCCGGAGCCATCGATCAGAACTGGCATCCTAAACTCCACACCACACACCTTCATTCCCAAGCTTCCGACACTCGCCTGTTCGTCTTCCTGCAAGAGCCACCCCTAAACCCTAAACCCTAAACCCTAAACCCTAAACCCTAAACCCTAAACCCTAAACCCTAAACCCTAAACCCTAAACCCTAAACCCTAAACCCTAAACCCTAAACCCTAAACCCTAAACCCTAAACCTAAACCCTAAACCCTAAACCAGGTTAAGCAGCTCAAACAGCTGAAGACCGAGGCACCGGCTTCCATGTGGGGTTTTGAGGGTTTTGAGTCGCTTCTCAAGTTTCGGACAGTCCCGTGGCCGCCCTTGGCAGAGCCGATCCCTATTCTTACATCCGAAGCCCTCAAGCCCAACCTCTAGGTTTGGGGTTTACAGGGTTTTGGGCCTTGGGTTTGCACGTAAGGTTTGTAGGGTTTCGGGTAAAGTTTGTACTGCAGAGTTCAGTCTATAGGGTTTGGCGTTCATCGGGTTTAGCTTAGGGAAGTTGGGGGTTTTGGAGATACGGTGGCGAACAGGTCCAGGCGGCTCAGGAGAAGCACCGTCAAGTGAACAGCCCGCTGGCCAAGGACCTGGGTGTGGGGTTCTGAGGGGTTTAGGGTTTCGGGTTTCGGGTTTAGGGTGTTGGTTTTAGGGTTTAGGGGGTTTACCTTGAAAGTAACCTTGTCCCTTGCTTGGGTTCGGCTCATAAGTACAGTTCTGATTGGGGTTCTAAGTACCCTGAACCTCCAAGTATGCCGCGAGGGCCCAAGCCCTGTCAAGGAGCTTGCGAAGCTGATGATCTCACTGCGGGGTGGACCGCAGATCTCCTGAGATCTCGAGGGTCATCCGAGGTACCCGGGTACAGGCCGGGTGCTTTTGTTTGGGTTTAGGGTTTAGGGCCTAAAGTTTAGGGTTTAGGGTTTAGGATTTAGGGTTTAGGGTTTAGGGTTTAGGGTTTAGGGTTGAGGGTTGAGGGTTGAGGGTCATGGGATCAGGAGGGGAGTCTACATGGGACATGGCTTGGGCCCTGGCCCAGGCCTCCGCATGACGCACTGTCGTGGGTGAGACGCCGCATGCTGAAGCGAGTGGTGGCGGCTTCCCCCCCAACGACGGTATGCAGATTTCCCTGGTCTCATGTCAGGAGAATAAATCAGTGTTGGGCATGCAGGCTTCGGGTACAGTACGACAAGATCATGATAGTGATCGTATATGGCGGACTTGAAGTATTCAGGGCTTCCATGTGGAAATCTGTGGGCGCGTAAAGACCTCAGAGACAAGATGCTAATATACCGACTCGCCCCAATTGGGGGTGTGGCCGACGCAAAAAGTCTGAGGCTGCTCCACTGCGTGCTTCCATGCATGCCAAGCTTGCTAGTCGTGGCTACTTGTATTTCTAGGCCTCCCCCCTTCGGCAGTGTTTAGGCTCCGAGAAGTGCTGATGCTCTGTGGCAGAAGCAGCAACAGCTTGCAAGGCATCGAGGAAGATCGCAGCCCAGTCTACAGAAATTAGAGCTCGAGATGCGCGGGTAGACCCCATAAAGCTGCGTGTTGTGCCAGTGCCGACAGCCCCCACGCACCAGAATGCTGCGGCGGTATGCCGCGCGCGCTGTGCTGGCATGTGCTGGCGGCATTCCTGCTCTCATCAGTCCGCGTACAAGCAGAGGTGCCCGACACTCTGCAAGATCGGGTTCATGTTGAACATACATGGAGATATTATCCATACAGTCGCTATGTACCGCACAAAAAATGAAGGGAATTTGCCGCGACGGATTGCTCGGTAGATTGTCCTTGCTAAAGTTCAACGGCGGGTTGCTCTCGGTAGGGTTTCCGTGGCTGCCAAGTTGCAACCAAGACCGTGCATGTTGTGCAGGCAGATGCCAGGCGTTTGTTAACCGTCCGCCTACAGCGTGAGCGAAGGAGAAGGGCTAGGAGCAGCCCGGGGTATACGGTTGCGCGGCTGGAAACCCTAAACATCCCATATGGGGGGGGGGGGGGGGGGGGCATTTTCACTAGACCCTAGACCCTAAACCCTAAACCCTAAACCTGTGTGCTGAAGGTGCTCTTGGTAGTGAAGTTCCCAGGTAGGTCTTCAGTTGAAGAATGCCGACGCGCCCTGTCACTGCTCAGGTTTGGACAGGGGAACTTCGTAGCGTTGCAAGGTTTATGGTTGAGGGTCTAGGGTTTATGGTATAGGGTTTAGGGTTTAGGTTTAAGCGTCCGACACGGCATCCAGGGCTGGCAGGCTTGTTCAAAGAAGTGCCTGCGGAGGAGCTGGACCTCGATTGAAGACTTCACTGCTCCGCCTCGCCACTTGCTTGCAGGTTTATGGCGGGCTTCGGAATTCGGGTTTAGGGTTTAGGGTTTAGGGTTAGGGTTTGGGATGTAGGTTTAGGGTTATAGGGTTTCGGGTTTGGGGGTTTTCGGTTTTTAGGGTTTGTAGGGTTTAGGGTGTAGGGTTTGGCATTGTCGGATCCAAGCACGCGTCACTTCCAAGAACCCACCCTGAACCCTGGTGCTCAATCTTAGGTCATTCTTTGAGCGCTGCAGACCATGCCCTAAATCCTGACCCTAAACCCGAAACCCGATAACCCTAAACCCTACATCCCAAACCCTAACCCTAAACCCTAAACCCTAAACCCTAAACCCTAAACCCAAAACCCCAAACCCCAAACCCCAAACCCCAAACCCTAAACCCTAAACCCTAAACCCCCCCCCCCCCCCACCCCCACCCCTTGCGGAGCTCCGAGGAGCCCTGCGCCTCCCCTGGAACCCTTCGATCCCCTGGGCGCCTTGGCCCATCCCCGCGCTGAAGCACCTGAAGGAGAAGAAGGCGCTTCGGGGGTGGTATATTATCTTCTTAAGTGGCCTTTTTTTTGCTATATTACTACAGCATTGTTTGTGATTATGTGGTTTTATTCTTATATGACTTTTCTTTACTATACATTGCTACAGTATTTTATGTGATGGTGTGTTTTTTTGTATATTCATATATGCTTGGCTAGGTCATGCTCGCCAAAAGCAGCCAACCCAGTCTCTTGGGAGGCCCCAAGTGGGCTGCAGCGCATCTCCCTCGAGGACACAGCCACGTTAGGATTTGTTTTTTTGGTTAAGTACATTCTAGTTATATGTTGTACATTCTACATGACATATTCCGCAAAGCCGTCTTATTTCGTATAGAGTACAGAGTATATAGTCTACAGCACATAGTCTGTAGTATGTATAACGATTCAGAAGAGATGACCTGAGAGGCGTTTAGGGCTAGAGTCCGAGCTCCTTTAAGAGTTGTTTAGCTTAGCAAAGTCCATCCTTTCCTGAGAACCAGCGAGGGGGGAGGGGGGGGGGGCGGGAGGGAGGGGGGGGGGAGGGGGGGGGGCGGCAGAGCCTGCTTTCAGGACCTCAACGACGTGCAGTACCTGGGAGACTTGTGGTTTTGAGCTCAGCACTCTCCAGCTTTAGATTTATGGACTTATATATAGGGTTTGCAAGTTTGGGGTTTCTTAGGGTAGTTACATGGTCCCTTAGTACGGGCCCTTAAAAGGGGACCCCTTATATACCCTATACAAATTAACGCTCCATACATCGGAACCCTTTAAAGGAGGTAAGTCGCTTATGTTTATCTCACTCCCCGTTGTTCGGCTCGGAATGCAGGCGGAGCTGATCTGTTTGCAGCCTTCTTGCTTGGGATGCCCAGGATCGGGACGCCAACCGACCGCACCTTCCGGATGATGTCTGTGGCTAAGCCAGCTATTATAATAGTAATTCTAATAGCAATAATAATTTTTACACAAAAAAAAATAATAATCAAAATTGGTAATAGAAATAACTGTGTGTCTTAGCATTTCTGGTTCTCAACTGCAGCACGTCATGGTAGATAGCTCTCTTTTTGACTAAGACTGGACACCGGCTCATCTGCTGGAGCCCGAGCAAAGTGCTGTCCTGCAGAGTGTACCAAGCTGGGCACATGACGTTCCGCCACATTTGCCATGCTGAAGTGAAGCTTCGCAGTCCCAACTCGGCAATGGGATAGCTATACTGGCTATGCAACGGACACACTTTGGTGGCAGTCCCAGTTCCACAACATCAAAGCCATGTACGTAATCCTGAAAGCACCCTAAACGGGTGTTTCTGAAAGATAGTTTGGGTCTCCAGTTCTCCTAGAAGCCTTCTAAACAGAGACCCGAAAAGGGACCCGAATGTCGAACCACCCAACTCAGCACAATTCAGGACCTTTGGGTCAGCAACAACGTGTTCAGTCCGGACGACTCATCCACTTGGCACGCTGGGAGGGGCTTGGGGCCCCCCTTAAAGCTTCGAAGTTCGAGGGGTTTAGGGTTTCGGCGGATTAGGTTTGGGTTTTAGGGCTTCTGGTCGGCTTGAAAATTTATGGTTTGTGGTCTAGCATTTCGGGTTTTAGGCGGGTGGGGTCTCGGGAGTGGTATCAATGTAAGTATGTAAGTAACGGCATTGTGGTGGTTGCTGACTGCTGAAACCCTGAACAACAAAACCCTAGAACTTAACTTGCCCACCCACACAACCCGCAAGGTATTGATGGGCTATGATCTGCTTGTTTCTCCAGCATGCGTATTTGTGGCCCTAAACCTCAACCCTGAACCCCGAACCCTAAACCCTAAACCCTTGAGCCCCCTAAACCCTTAAAACCCTTAAAACCCTTAAAATCCTGAAAGCCCCGTAAACCCTAAACCCTTAAAACCCTTAAAACCCTTCAAGCCCCAAAAGCCCTTAAAACCCTTACTGTAACACCCTAAAACCCTAAAAAGTCCAGTCCGTGCCCCTGAGCCGTAGTAGTCTTCGTAGCCTTTTGTTTGGCCTGGATGGCGTGGCCGCGGGTCAGGCATAAGTCCTTGGTTCAGGCCCGTTTAGGCTTGTCCGTTTCATCCAGTTCGCTCTTTGAGACCTGCTGTCGGCTGTCTAGACGTCCTGAGAATCGCCTCCAAATGCCGAAGAACTTTGAGTCGGACAGAGCTTAGCCAGTTTAGGCGTTAATTCGGAGTGAGGCTGCAATCGGTGCGCTGAAAGAAACCCTAAACCCTGATGATGGCTACTTCGGGGCTCTCCAGCCTGCTTCCCAGGGTCTCCGACGACACCTCCGCCCGGCTCTCGGTGGCACTTGCAGCCTTTGGAGCAGGGCCGAAAAAGGGGTTTAGGGTTTAGGGCTTATAGGGCTTAGGGTTTTGGGTTTTGGGTTTAGGGTAACTGAACCCGAAACCCCAAACCCTCAACTCTGGATATCCACGCCCCTCCCTCCCTCCTCTTTGCACCCCTCAGTGAATAATATGGGGGTTGCTCTCAAAGGCATGGGCCATTGGGCTAAGAGTCTTACTTGGAGGTTCATGGTACTTATTCACCAAGTAAAGCTGTGCTTGTAACCCACTTATAAGCCCCGTAAGTGCCCTGACATTCTTATAAGTACAGTTCATAAGTACAGTTGTAGTTGGTTAATAAGCACCATGAACCTCCAAGTAGGGAGGCCCCACCCACGCCGAGGAGACGCAGATTCGGTATGGGCAGGGGGTCGTCCACGGCACGACTGGCCGGGGGCCTCAGCTTGGAGGGTTCCTCGGTAGTTTAGGGTTTATTTAGGGTTTATTTAGGGTTTATTTAGGGTTTAGGGTTAGGCCCTTGTGGGCCTGCGCCCTCCCAAGGTTTCTGGAATAAGGGGCTCAGGGCACCTTAAGGGGAGTTTCGGGTCTAGGATTTGGGTTTTGTGAGCCAACTATCCCATGCCTTCTCTCTGCACTCAGCTTCCCTCCCCGCCTTGTGGGTGCAGTTTCGGCAGGTGCCCTGTGCCCGCACTCAGCTTGGCACGGCTAAGGCGTAAGTCCCTAAACCTTAAACCCTAAACCCGCAACCCCAAACCCCAAACCCCAAACCCTAAACCCTAAACCCTAAACCCTAAACCCTAATCCGGCACAAACCCAAAAAGCCAACAAACGAGAGCTTGCTCGGTTGAGCCAATGGAGGCATAGACGAAGTCTGCCTGCTGGCAGACCCCAAGAACCTGTGCGTCCGCCAGGAACCAGCTTTCCTAGTTCTTCGTGGGGAGGTCAGGGAGGGTTTAAATTTAGGGTTTAGGGTTTAGGGTTAGGGCTGTATTCCTGCAAGGGTTCGGAAAGAAGGGATGCACACAAAGTGTGGTTTCGGACTACTCGCACCAGAGCCTGGGGGTTCCTCAGCTTCCATCGTATTGGGCGCCTCTCATCCTTCGGCTCTGCTTTTTGTCCCCCTGGCGCGCTGCGGAGGAGCTCCTGGTGGCTTCGGGAGTGGAGGACGTCGTGGTTGTACGGTGCCATTATTACCTGCCAAGATGACCGAAGTATGCCCCGCCCCCAAAACCTCCCCAAAACCCCCAAACCCACAAAGCCCTAAACCCTAAACTCTCTCACTGTATGCCCCTCTCCCACCCAACCCCACATTCACAACCCACAACCCGCATCAAAGCTCCCTGCACCAGGGCATCTCCCTGACCACCTTCGATGGTATCCTGGGCCTGGGGCTGCCGGGCATCTCCCACGCGCATCAGGCTTGCCGTCGACTCTATCACGGGTTCTTAAGGGAGGGGGGTTTCAGGGGGGGTATGTAACCCAAGGTTCCCTCATCCTCCCTACTACTCCCTAAGTATCCCTAGGTTCCTACACCCCTTGACTTAAGAGCCCGATAATATCAGCCCTGTAAGCCTTGCAACACCTTGAAGCATTTTTTTTTCAAGAAAAGCGGGGGTGGGGCGGGGGGGTGGGCATGGACTCTAACAGAAGCCCCGAGACGTCCAGTAGAGGTGCCTCACTTCCAGAGAAGGTAACGGGCAGGGGAACACGGTAGAGGCTTCCAGTGCTACGCAACATTTCAGGGGTAAGTGCACATTGCGAGGAGCATACTCCGAATAGAATGGTCTGTAAACTGCATTGTGCATGTCTTGTAAATGTAGGTTTGTAATGAAAAGGTTGAGCTGGTTGAGGGGGTCGGCTGCTGTGTGCAGTAGTGTCAGCTGGAACTGGCAGAGGATCCAAAGACTCAAAGTCGGAGGTATCCCCGAGCTAGAACTTCTGACCGCCATTTAGGATTTAGGGTTTAGGGTATCGGGTTTGGGGTTTAGGGTTTAGGGTTTAGGGTTTAGGGCAGCAAGGACTTCTTGCAAAACCTGGCGAAGACGGGCTTCGGTGGTGGCGAGCTCTGCTTCTCCTTCGAGCCAATGGCCCAGCTTCGTTCCGGGGGGCGGGGGTCAGCGCGTGCTCCACAGCTTAAAGAGCTGTTCCGATTTCTTGTGCTCCCATGATCAGCCAGTGTTTCTGCAGAGCCTGAGAGCTTGCGCATGTAAGAACCAATCAGCCGTGCTGGAACACATATTTCTTATGAATACTACATACATTCTAAGATGGTAACTCAGGTTATGCTCCTGACAGTAGCAGCAGTAGCACCTCTCCGGCACTGAGGCTGATGGAGAAGGCGCCCGAGCAAGATGTCGGGAAGATATCGGCGTAATTATACGGTCACTTCGCCACGTGATGGTCCCTATTTGGGTGCTCTAATTCTAACGGGCCTGTATCACAACGGGAAACCTCTGTGAGGCCATCTCTGTCACATATACACATAACCCTAAACCCTAAACCCTAAACCCTCAACCCTCAACCCTAAACCCTAAACCCTAAACCCTAAACCCTAAACCCTAAACCCTAAACCCTAAACCCTCTGCATCTAACATCGGCAGAGCTTTAAAGTTTGGGCGCAGGAAACCTCCACGGCCATCTTCGGGCCGTGCCCGGAGGTCATGGGCCAGGGCTCCCGGTCGCTGCATCTTCCTCTGAGGTTTAGGGTTTAGGGTTTAGGGTTTAGGGTTAGGGTTTAGGGTATAGGAGTTCGGGGGTTCGGGGTTACGAAGAATCTTATGCGCAGGGGCTTTGTTCAGATGCGTTTATTGGCAGACCATACCCTAAACCCTAAACCCTAAAACCTAAACCCTGAACCCTGAACCCTGAACCCTAAACCCTAAACCCTAAACCCTTCTGAAGGGTTCTGGTGGAGGGCCGGGGAATTGACGGATGATGGGGGTACTTGAAACTGTTTCAGGGTTTAGGTAGACGTACCAAGCCGAAAGGGCTTGCAAGTCCAAGCCCCACCCTCGTTGCGCTCAGGCACGGCAACGGAGCAGACTGGCATCCCGGCAAGCCGGGCTGCCCATCTTCGGGTGCAGTGCGGTCCTGAGCTTTCGCCGTGGCTGGCTTTTTCTGTTTAGGGTTTACCTGAAGGGTTACCTGAACACCCCCCCCCCCCCTTCAGGTACTGTAGTGATGCATCCCCTTCAGGTATCGTAGTGATCCATACCATTCGAAGCCATGAAAGTCCAAGGCTGGTTCTATCGGAGTTGGTCAGGGACAGGGTTCAGGGAGCCCAGTGGGAGGCGCTCGAAGGGTCAGCGGAGTATCATTCGCAGTCGTTGCAGTGGGTGGTGTCGCTGAGCCTGTGCTAGTTGTAAAGGCGTATGAGGAACGGCCAGGGGGTGATGAGAGTTTCTGTTGAGTTGCAGGCGCGCTTTTGGCTTCATGCAGCCAGGCCCATCTGATTGTTGTCGCACGTGTCGTTCTAGCTGGCGTGACAGTTACTAAGCATCAGCATGCTCCCCGTCCTTGAGCCTGGAGAAAGTATCAGCATTAGAATATAGAATATTATATATATATATACATATTGTAATTGTATTGCTATTATTATCATTATCATCATCATCATCATGATCATTATTATTATTATTATTATTATTATTATTATTATTATTATTATTTATATATGTATATATACGGAGTTGTACATGTTTACCCAAAACATTCAATCTGCCTCCTTTCCCGTGAGGCTGGTGGCTGGTGGAGATCGGCATCACGTGCGCCATCTTGAGCCTGAGCGCCCTGCAGGCACAAGAGGGCACCCAGTGTGGCAGCGCAAATCAGCGTGGAAGCTCCCTGTGAGGGTTTAGGGTTTAGGGTTTAGGGTTAGGGCTTAGGGTTTCGGGTTTAGGGCTTAGGGTTTAGGGTTTAGGGTGGGTGTAGGGTTTGCATCACCCTCTGCGAAGAAAAAACCCTATCAGCTGCAAATGTACCTCAAGCCTTCCTAAAGCCCGACGAGAAAGGTCAAAGCTTGTGCCCTTTTATAGTTGAAGTGTAGGCCCCCTGCCATCCTGGAAGCCCACGGACCTTCATGGCCGGAGAGGCGCAGCTGGTTCTCTTGAAGAACTGCGCGCCGGGGCCTCCAGCCTTCTTGGCGTGGGGGAGCTGGGGAACACCCTGCAGCATGGCGACTCGGTGCGCCTTGTAAACCCAAAACCCAAAACCCTAGACCCTAAACCCTACTAAACCCCCATGTTTGTGCGTGTGTTTGCCCATCTACATGTGTGTACTCCCCGGAGGCCTGGAAAGCCCTCGCTAAGGCCCACGTTGCTCCTCTCCGTGATGATGGGGATCTTCTGCAATGAGCGCTATGTCAGGCAGACTGGGCTTGGGTCCCTGCTGGGTGCGGCTCAAAAGTCTAGGTATGTAACTGGCTCCCGGGCGTCTTTCCGCGACATAGGGTTTGTAACAAAGCCGTTCTGCTTGCGACAAGCAGCGTCCGCGACAAACCTCCGCGACAAGCCTCCGCGACAAGCCTTTGCGACAAGCCCCTTCCGACTACGCAGGCATGTAGACAGCGCGCGAAACAGCCGCGATGAACCCCGCGACATACGCATGAAACAAGTGGGCGCGACATACGTATGTAACACAGGCTGGGGTCGGGACACCGTGACATACCCCTATTTAGAGCCACAGCCTGCTCACAAGGGCAAACCTCATGCGGCAAAGGGTTCAAGGGTTTAGGGGCCCAAAGCCCTAAACCCTAAACGCTAAACCCTCGAAACCCATATGTCGTTCCACCAATGTGGCGGGAATCGGCCCAGCCCCGGGGAGCCCTAAATCCCAATAGCCCCGTTCCATTCCTCGGCGCAGGCATTGGAATCGATTCTTCAAGACGCGCTACATGGAGATGCCTCTCTGCTCGGAGGCAGGACATGGAGATCCGACGACATGAGGTGTAGCCGTTCGGCTCTAGGAGCTTAGGGCTGAGGACTTTGGGGCTTTGGTGCTTCGGGTGGGTTGCAAAGCATACTCAGCTGCCCCGAAGCCCACATGCGTAGGCACCTGGATGGGGTTCTGTTGAAGCAGACCACGGCTGTATATTTGCCACAGTACCCCAAGCTCTTGATTTCACAGAGGAATCCCCAAACCCTACACCCCCCCCCCCCCCCCCCCCAAAAAAAAATCAATCAAACTCCCAATTCCTTAAACAGGACGTGCAGCATCACCCCATTTTTTCTTGTTGAGGCTTAGACAAAATCCTTTTGAACGGCCTTAATGGTCACCACACCTTCTGGTCAGGCAATTGTTTGCGCGAACTGGTATTGGATATCCGCATTTGGGACACACGAACGTTTCTCCGCATGAGAAACCAACCTGACAACCCCAACCCTTCCTTTCATTCTAGGCGCATGCTCGATATTGCTCGATAAGGGAGGGGGGGAATTTTTGCGGCTCCGGGTTGATTCGCAGGAAGTATCAGGTGTGACGAGAAGGGCCCAGAATCATGTTGCTCAACGCCCATAATTTGTCATCGTGCTTCCACCTGGGGTTCTTGCAGGCGGTCACGCAACGCTGCGGCCCTGTCTGCCTCTGCCCCAGAGCCACGCAGGCTCAGCACTGCATGTCTAGGTCTATGGAGGCTTGTCAGAGGAGTTTAGGGTTTTGCAGTCTGGCATTCTGGTTGTTGAAGTTCAAAGATGGAGGAACAGAGAGCAAGGGCCGTTTGGATTTGATTGCCAGATAGCCTGAACGATACGCATGTCGGTTGCCAACTTCCCAGCGATGCCTGTGAAGGTGGTTTGTGAATGTGGTCCGCATATGATGCGTCGTTGCAGTTGTTCCTCTTGTCCCTGCTTCAGACCAGGTCAGAGCACCTTCTTGGTTGTCGGTCTCATCGTCTATGGCCTTCTTCAGGCGCTGTGGAGCAGTGACTTGCAGCACCGAATGGAGTATGGATAGATAGCTTATACCTTTCGTAGCTTACAAATTTTGACGGTTTCGGCTAAGTAGGCGCCAAAGCAACTTCGGGAGAGCTATAGACCGGCGCACCAGCCGCAGCGCAAGTACGGAATGGCTTGCAGGTGGTGGCGGTGACGATTATCCTGAACACGGTGCTCGACGCAACGCTGACGGGGCAGTTTCATACAGAGGCTGGAGGGTAAGGGCGCCAGCACTGCTGTTCGGGGAACCCTTGAAGGTCTGCCAAAAGCTGACATCCTGTGAATTCTTTCGTGGGGTTCTTGTTGCCAGCCTTCCCACGTTGGAGTCTTCGCACCTCAAGGGGTCCTCCAATCTTGCGTCTGTCAGGTGAGTGCTATTCTGGATACCGGCACGTCGTTCATCGTGGTGTACTCAGGTGATGCCTAACGAAGACCGGGCCGATTCTGGACCCAAAGCCCGCCAGATCTAAAGCAGGGGAGGCTGTTGTGCAAGAATCGCGTGAGCCGTGTGACCCTAATCATGATCTGGGCAAGACTCAGGTGATTCCCAAGGACGATTTTGGAGTGGTCGGCGCCGCAATGTTTGGCCAACGCCGCTCTGCCTGTGAAGCCTTGATGCCTGGGATCCATGAAGCAAAGCTAAACGAAGCCCGTCATGTATGTCTGTAGCCTCAGCAGAAGGAATGTTCAGCATCCTTCAATTGAGTGGGTGTGCAGCTACGCTTCCTTGTACTTCACCGTGCTCTGCAACTTCTGGGTTTTTGCAGGGCTCCCAAACTCTACTCTTCACCCTAAACCCGAAATGCCGTATTATAGGGGTCGGATAGTTGCCGATAGAATTCCCCATTGCGGCAGGGATGGGCGACCGCGTCGGAGTACGCACGAGTACGCCCGAGTACGCACGAGTACGCCCGAGTACGCACGAGTACGCCCGAGTACGCACGAGTACGCCCGAGTATGCACGAGTACGCCCGAGTACGCACGAGTACGCCCGAGTACGCCCGAGTACGCCCGAGTACGCACGAGTACGCACGAGTACGCACGAGTACGCCCGAGTACGCACGAGTACGCCCGAGTACGCACGAGTACGCACGAGTACGCCCGAGTACGCACGAGTACGCACGAGTACGCACGAGTACGCACGAGTACGCCCGAGTACGCCCGAGTACGCCCGAGTACGCCGAGTACGCCCGAGTACGCCCGAGTACGCTCGAGTACGCCCGAGTACCCCCGACTACGCACGAGTACGCACGAGTACGCACGATTACGCACGAGTACGCACGAGTTTGTTTCAAAGCATGTGCATACATTGTTGGAAATCCATCATGCGAAAGTCGTGTTTGCAAAATGCGGGGGGGGGGGGGCTCCCCAACCCTGCTTTATTTTTAGCCGCGCAAGCTTGCTTCAACGCATATGCATACATTTTCGGCAACCCATCATGCGAGCATCGTGTTTGCAAATGGGGGGGCTCCCCCCCCCCAACCCCCCCGTTTTTTTTGAGCCAAGCAAGCTTGCTTCAAAGCATATGCCATATGCATACATTAAAATGTTGCAAATCCATCATGCCAGAATCGTGTTTGCAAATTTGGGGGCCTCGCCCCCCCCCCCCCACCCAACCTCCCCGCTTTATTCATACATTTTGAAAACCCATCATGCGAGAATCGTGTTTTGCAAATGGGGGGGGGGGGGCTGCGCTCCCTCCCAATCCCCTCCTTTGTTAAAAGCCGCGCAAGCTGTCTTCAAAGCATATACATACATGCCGTTCGTTCGTGCAAGTCCAAGTAAACCCTATATTTGTTACGTAAGAAAACCTCTACAGCAAACCTCTATGCGTCTCTCTGGTTTAGAAGCCCTATGTGTCCTTCGATTTTAAACCTCTTTTCCTTTTGTTTGGAAAACTCTTTCTGTTTCTGTTGGTAGTACAACCTCTAGTATCTTGTGTATTGCATAGGCAAACCCTCTTTCCCCGCCTTCTATGGATAACCTCTATCTCCTTTCACTTTTAACATGGTAAAATCCTACCTTTCACGGACAAAACCCTAAGTTTCCTTGGTATTTGAATAGGAATACCCGCATTCCCTTTGTATGTTAAGAATAGAACCTGTATTTCCTTTGTACTCTATGCGGAAAACCTCTATTTCTTTAGATTTCAAGAGGAAAACCTCCATTCTCTTCGGATGTTGATGGGAAAACCGCTATTTTCTCTGGATGTTAATAGGAAAACCTCTTCTCTTGGGATTTTAATAGGAAAACCTCTATTTTCTTTGGATTTGAACAGGAAAACCTCTATTTTCTTTGGATTTCCTCTATCTTGCAATAGGGAGGCCCCCCCCAAAAAAAAAAAAGTTGAAAGGCAAAAAACAATAAATAATTCCTCGACCATAGGTTTACAGCAATGTAGACTTAGCAAGAACCCTGGATACCCTCACGCACGAGTTTTGACCATCTGCAGACTCCCAGCGACCTTTGCCACGAAAAGGATGCCATACTTGGCGCATACCCGGGCACCCGGCGCATACCCAGCGCATACCCGGGCACCCGGCGCATGCCCGGGCACCCGGCGCATACCCGGCGCATACCCGGCGCATACCCGGCGCATACCCGGCGCATACCCGGCGCATACCCGGGGCACCCGGCGCATACCCAGCGCATACCCGGGCACCCGGCGCATACCCGGGCACCTGGCGCATACCCGGCGCATACCCGGGCACCCGGCGCATACCCGGCGCATACCCGGCGCATACCCGGGCACCCAGCGCATACCCGGGCATACCCGGCGCATACCCGGGCACCCGGCGCATACCCGGCGCATACCCGGCGCATACCCGGGCACCCGGCGCATACCCGGCGCATACCCGGCGCATACCCGGGCACCCGGCGCATACCCGGACGGGCACCACCTACAATATTCGGGGTCGCTGTTTCCGTCCACTCTGGAATTCCCTAGCTCATAGCCCCCTTGTATTTGTACTATACTAAGCCTATTCTCATGATTAAGGACCCTACAGACCCTAAACCCTAAACCCTAAACCCTAAACCCGAAACCCGAAACCCGAAACCCGAAACCCTAACCTGGAGTGCGATTCGCGTTGGGAGTTGAGGATCGGGGCGAACAACGCCGCAAGCTAATGCTAAACATCGCTTAGGGTTTAGCGTTTAGGGTATAGGGTTTAGGGCTGAGGCTTTGAACTCCAGAGCCTAAACTCTTTAGATCCTATAACCCTTCGTCTAAGCCCTATTTACCCTATAAACCTGCAACCCCTATAAACCTACAACCCCTATACTTTAAGCCTTGTGAACTCTATAAGCCCATAAACCCTACAAAGCCCGATGAGCTTTAATCCTCTTGAATCAGAGCTGGAGCTCACGAATGTGTCAACATGGCGGTCCTTGTTGGGATCCTCAAGCGAAGGCTTGAATGGTGGGAACAGAGTAGGTGACCCCCCCAAAATAGGGACTTGAGTTTAGAACGCCTCCGTGCAAAGGCATCCAAAACAGGGACAGGTTTTCTCAGAGGACCGTGAAACTTAGGGACCTCTTAAGTTGACTGGTGCCTAGGTCTGGAAGACAGCTGCGGGATGTATCGAAATTCGCTGCGGGATCCTTGATGCCAGGGTCTGATTCTGGAGGCTAGTTTAGGGTTTAGGGTTTAGGGTTTAGGGTTTAGGGTTTAGGGTTTAGGGGTAGGGATGACGAGCAGACAGGACTGGCAGAGTAGTGGGAAGCTGCAAAGAATTTCAAGTAAACCCTCAACCCTGAGACCCTGAAACCCTAGGTTTTTGAGTCCCACTCGACCTCCTGTTTTTTGAGCCCGGCAAGGGCCCTTTACCTTCAGAACCCTTCGTGGCCTTGCCTTCTGTTGCGGCCGCTACCAGGCTGTGCGCATGCGACATCATTGATGAGGCGCGGCGGATTCCTTCAACAAGCCCTGGACTCTATATATGGGGGGTTTCCGACATTATAGGGGTACCTTATTGGAGGTCCTTATTATCAGGGAATCCTACTTAAAGGGGGTCTATATTTCATAAATCCCAAGTCCCAATCCTGCAAGCCCTGAACATCGTAATCCTAGAAGCACTACACCCTGATACCCCAAAATCGCAAAGCCGTGCATCCAACGGCGCATCCCAATCCTGAAAGGCATCCGTCTGTCTTTTCTAGATTGGGTTTTGGACGGTCCTTCCTTGAGGGGTCATGTGCGTTTAAACTACCGCAGGGACAGTCGTGCAGCCGTTTCAATGCTTTTTGGCGCCCCCCCCCACCCCCCAAACCCCAAGCCCCTCCTACCCCGTGAATCTACAGCAGGCGAAGCCCCTGCACATCGACGTCGGGGGCCTGCATTTCCGCCGCGGGCTTGGCAAGAACGGTTGGTTTTTTGGGGTGTGGGTTGCTCTCTTGAGGTTCTTCAACCCTTTGCTCTACAATATACAGATGCATAATATGTTTTATGTATGAAAATTCATAAAAAACAAATAAACAAGCAAACAAACAAACAAACAAATAAATAAATAAATAAATAAATAAATATGTATATATATGTGTATATATATATATATATATATATACATGTATAGACATAGACATGTATAGACATAGACATAGACATAGACATAGACACAGACATAGACATAGACATAGACATAGACATAGACATATATACATACAGTTGTTCTATAAACCTAGTGCATATTTTTTCTACTCTGTATATATTTATATATAATATACATCTAAGAACCATGCCTTGAGTTCTTACAGAGGCCTTTGGAGGGGAGGGGGGGGAAACGGAATCATGGAGGGGTGGCCTGGTATTGCGCTGTTGGGCTCCCCGGCCCCTGGCAGTGTCGTAGTGACCCTTCGGGGTTTAATTTCCTTGAGTGGTTGTATTCCCTTTGAAACTAACCCGTAGTTCAGGCTGTTTTTCTTGCGTTTTGCAATCTTGCATGGTTTTTTTGCTGGACGTACCAGAGAAAAGAAGCGGCCCGTACCAGCAGCTCGCAGAACGCTAAAGTTCCGCAAGCAAGCGTCATCGTTTGGACACTTTCGGACATTCATGAGGTCTTGCGAGTTGACGGTATCTATGAAGAAGCGAGCACAGGAAGCAAATGCGATGCCACCAACGAAGAACACATCCGACAGGCTGTTAAGCAACTGGCCTAAATATGTGGGGTGGAGCATGTATACCCTGAGATCTCAACTCCGCCGTCACACTCCTTTCCGAAAATTGAGAAATTGAGGTCCTTGTTATGAAGGGATCCTAATGTTTCGGGACCTATATTCGGGTCCCTGATCATGTCAACCTCTATTTAGGTGTCAGAGCCCATACAAGTAACCCTAACCCCTAAACCCTAAGGGGTTCAGAACAAGCAGGGGAACCTCGCGCAGGAATCGATCCACGTGAGACCTTTACGATTGACTCCGCGCACGCCTTGGCGAATGGGGGGTTGTGGGTTTAGGGGCTTCGGGCCCAGGGCTTAGGCCCTAGGGCTTCGGGCTTAGGGCTTAGGGCGTTTGGTTTAGGGTTTAGGGTTTAGGGCTTAGGGTTTAGGGTTTAGGGTTTGGGGTTTAACAGAGGGTTTGGGGCCAAAGTTTTTAGATGCAGAGTGCGCGACGCGAACCCAGTGAGCGGTTGAAGATTGCTGTAGTACTTTCCGTTGGACGTGATGATGCCCCACTAGCTTACCATTTGGGTTCACAAATTTGGGCTTAGGGTTTAGGGGTTAGGGTTTAGGGTTTAGGGTACGGTTAGATGGTGTTGGGACCCAGAACCCTGCAGACCCTCAAATTCTTCTCTCAACGTTCGTGCGCCGACGACGCCGAGCCACGGAGGGATCGGCATTGTTGGGTAGGGTTAAATTCCCAGGTAAGCCCTTGGGACATCTTAGATTCTCCCTTCTTGGGCTCTTTGAGCATCCCATTAGGAATATTTGTCACTGGGTTGTTTAGGAGCCATCCCTAGATGCTTCGCCACAGTCATGCACGTGTGAAGAGGCCCCTGCCTGATCTTCTACTGTATTTGGGGGGTGTCTAAAATAGACCCCCCAACTCCCCTCATAATCAGGACCCCAAGAAGGTAAGGTACCCCTAATATCGTAGACCCCCCCCCATGTAAGGCCTAAACCCTAAATCCTAGGACATGCACTGTGCTGTAACAAAAAACCTTCGGGCCCCTTACAAGGGCCTTTCCTCTCGTCCTTCAATAGCTTGGTCGCGCAGCGGTACCCGGTTGCCACTTCTTGTGGTTTTAGATGTTCCCCTTCTAAAGTAACCAACCCCAAAAAAGGGTACCCATGTTGTAATATGGTTACTGGGCTACCAAGAGAGACCCGAAACCCTAAACCAAAAACCCTAAACCCTAAACCCTACGCCCTAAACCCTAAACCCTAAACCCTAAACCCTAAACCCTAAACCCTAAACCCTAAACCCTAAACCCTAAACCCTAAACCCTAAAACCCTAAAACCCTAAAACCCTAAACCTTCTGCTGGGTTGCAAGGATGGCGCCATGTTCCAAGGAGGGCGCAAGGCTCCAGCACCAGGGTTTCACCAAGACTTTGCGACGAAAGATGTCTCCGCAGGGTTTCAGTCTTGAAGGGTCTATCGTGTCCTTAGGTCTGATCTATAGAGACCCCACCAAGCCCTCATTGAAGAATATTCCTTAAATCGTATTGGGATCCCCATTGTAAACGAAAGGTACATTCCGGCAACAAGGCATATTTGGCTCTCCGGTTCATATCCAGTGGCTCTGCAAGTTCCAATGCCGCAGGCATGTCAGACTGGATTGGGTCTGGCCGAGGACCCCGCTTGATCGCAGGATTGGTATCCCCTAGCACCCAATACCCTACCTCCCTAAACCGACGAACTTCCTAGCCCTAAACCCTAAACCCCAAACCCTAAAGCCCCCTAAAGCCCCCGAATAATGGAGGCCAGAAAAGGCCATTTTGGGTCCCCGGATTCGATCGTGGCCTCTGGCTCTGGCAACCCAGGGCCGTAGTAGAACTAGCAGGGCCTCGTAGTATGTATATGATTACACTCTGCTATATCACGATATTACGGCTAACTTAGTATAAGATTCATATAGTCACAAAGAAAGAAGCCCTAGCCTTGAGGGTTTAGGGTTGAGCGTTCAGGGTTCAGGGCTTAAATTTTTTTCAAGCTTCAAGACCTAGGGATCATCGAAGGGCCCGTGCATCTTTGGCGCTGGAGTTTTCCATTTTTCAAAAGGGCCGTTTCGCAAAGCATGTGCTACGGTCATTATTCTCGCTGTCGTCATTTTTACCGCTTTTTGCTGTTCTGTCACTGCCGCCGCCACTGCCGCTGGCGCTGCCACTGCTTGCTATTGCTGTCGTTATTCTTATTTGATTCCTGCTCGCACTCTTATCAGCAAACGTCATTCAAGCTATTACTGTCAGCAACGTTCTATGCCGAAATTTCAGGCGGGGACTGCCTGGATCCTTGGCGACGTTTTCCTGAGGCTCTCACCAGGGGCCCTGGGTCCCTGTTTAGGGTTTGGCGAAATCCCTCAGAGCAATCCAGTGGCGGCCCTTGCACATCGCTAGGCCTACCAGGACATGAAGTAAGTTCTCTTGAAGGATGTGCCGGTGTTTTGCTACAGCAACACTGGTTCTTGTGCTGCTTCTCATGTGCCAAGTGCTTTGCCTCACATTGCAGGCAGGCTGTGGTGGTCCATGACCCTCGAGGGAATGTCTCCATCTTTCCCAGAGTGGAGGCCGCATCGACTCGAGCAAGAAGCTAGAACTATATCCACGGAGTAATCATTTTTTAAACTTTTGTTGATATAAATCTCGAGAGGATATTAAACATACTTTGTTATTAAGGTTCTAAGGGGAATATAGAGAAGCAGTCCGAATCGAGTCAGTCGGAACCACCCTGGAACTGCTAGGGCTAAGAGTCGTAGAGTTTATTCAGAATGCTTCCTTCTACTGCAAGCTCTATTGCCCTACGAACCCCGCCCACCCTAGGTGTTAGGGTTTAGGGTTTAGGGTTTAGGATCTAGGGATAAACCCGAAAGGCCCCTAAGGCCTAAACCCATGCTCGAGGTGGAGGCGCCCAAGCCGGTCGCAGCCTCGCAAGCTGACTTGCTGAGGGTTTGGGGGGTTTGGGTTTAGGGTTTAGGGTTTAGGGTTTATAGGGTTTAGGGTTTAGGGCTTAGGGTAAGCAACTGCTCCTATGAGTAACCGCGCCGCCCAGAAAACAAGAACCTTACAGTTCGAATTCTGACATGTTAGCGCTGCGCTGGAGGTTTTTCCATTCGGGGGGTGAGGGATACGGTGCCAAGGAGAGGGAGGCTAAGCTTCGGAAGCGTCCGGAGGAGAAACTCCCCATTCCTGTGCATCGCTGCCCTTTTGTCGGGCTCAGTACGCAAGCATGTCGCGTGGAGATCTGAAGCCATGGCTGCCAAGAATTGCTCTTGACATTTGACCACCCTCAAGCTGCAAGAGCGTTGCTGTGTGATGCGGGTCTTGAGCCAAGTGCCAGCTGACAGACCAAGTGCCTTGCTTCACGTTCCCTCGGCGCACAGAGCAGGCAGCCTCTTCGGATTTAAGTCATTATTTGGGTCATTGAGGGAGGGAGGGGGGTGGGGTGTTCATTCTTGAACAGCGAAAGTCAGCTGAAGCCCTGAAGGTCTCCGAATGCTGATCTATGGAGACTCGCTAACGGCCGGTGCTCCCTCAATGGTGCCGTTTGGGGAGGCGCTCTGCCAATCACTGGAATCTATGGGCGGCCCGGATCAACCTTGGAAGATGGGCATCAGATGGGTTCATGGGTCCAAGGTGCAGGTACAGTCAGCGAGGGAGTTCGTGCTATGATGTACACTTCCAGTCCCTAAACCCTAAACCCTAAACCCTAAACCCTAAACCCTAAACCCTAAACCCTAAACCCTAAACCACGCGTCTTTGAGTCTCAGGGTACCAGGTCGAGGCGACGATCTGCGGCTTGTGTGCCTCGACTGCTTGGCAGATGCTGGCCGCCGCAGAGGAGCCGTTGGTCCTGGAGACCTTGGGAAGTCGTTGGGGCTCAGGGCTCCTGCCCCTCCTTCACTCCAAGGATAAGGTGGATCTGGTTCTCCTCATGGCTGGCACCAACGACCTGGGGACCACCGCTCCTCCTGAGGAGATCGCTGCAGCCATCCGTGGCCTCCATGGCATCTGCCATCAAGCCGGCGTGAGAACGGTGGCGCTGGGCATCCCGGATGCCGGAGGCTGGAACGTGGCTCGGATTCCGGCGCTGGCGGCGCGGAAGCGGGCCGTGAATGCGTCCCTGGCCGCATGGACCAAAGTGGCAGAAGGATGCACGGAGAGTTGCGAGAGTTCGGACGCTTGGACCAAGCCTGAACTCTTCATCAACACGGTGGCCCTGATGCCCTACGGTCCGAGGAGCCGGGGGGCTGGAGACTGGGCTTCAATTATTTGGGTATCTCCCAAAGTGGGAGTCCTTTTATGCCCCAAATAGAACTTAAAGGGACCCCCCAAAAAGGGCACAACCCCCATTTGCCGCCCAATGACGGGGGAAGCCTGAAGCTGCGTTTCTTTTCAAGGGGGGGGAGGGGGGGTTGGGGCAAGACCGGCCGCAACGTAGTCCCCATGCAATACACGTAAAGACCGTTTCATCTTGGAAGCTTTAGGGTTTAGGGTTTAGGGTTTAGGGTTTAGGGCTGTAACGACTGAAATAGACTTCATGCTCTCCAAGGCTTTCCACCTGTCGTTCGCTAGGGGGTAGGACGACCCATAAATGGGTTCGTCTTCGGGTGAGGTGATCGAAGAAAATACCTTTTGCTTTACTTATGTTAGGATCTCAACCCCCACTCCAAAACCCTGAAACCCTTACCCCTAAAACCCTAAGACCCCTGAAGCCCCAAAATCCTCCTACACCCTCAAACCCTAAACCCTACCCCTAAACCCTAAACTCAGGGCCTAGGCCGCCCCCCTACGTTGGGGGGCGGCGCTTAAGCCCTTTGACCTCGGTGGCACAAGCCGACCCAGGTCGCTTGCCCGCCTCCCACAGCATGGGCCCGGTACCGCAACACGTTCTCCTCCCCCCCCCTTCAGCCAGCGGCGCTGGCCTTTTTGGGGGGGTACCCCCCGGGCCCCAAGGCCAGGAGGACCCGGACCTGTCGCCGCAGCGTGCTCAGGGACCAGGGGGCCTCAGGCCGACCCAGGCAGGGCGGGCGCTCAAAAATCAGTTTTTCTACCTCTCCCCCCCTTGGCCCCCCCCTGGCCTGCTGGCCCCGCTGGCCCCCCTGACCCCCTCTCTGTTTGTGCCCCGCCCCCCCTCGAGACCTTGCTGGCACCCTTGACTCTCGGATTCAACCAACATCAAAGTTTTGAATGCGTTTAGGCCTGAACCCTAAAAGGAATAGGTTTGGGTGGCTTTGCCGCCTTGGACGGAGTGGGGTGGGAGAAAAGTGTTAGATGGCCCTCCACAATCGGGCCAAAGTTGCTCTTCAGCACCTCACGCAGCTTTCGAGCTTGTTCCGAAACCTAACCTTCACAGCATCTACGCCCTATCACAGCAAACCCTAAACCCTAAACCCTAAACCCTAAACCCTAAACCCTAAACCCTAAACCCTAAACCCTAAACCCTAAACCCTGAACCCTTTTCAGGGCTCTGGGAACGGGATGGCGTGCACTTCACAGCCGCGGGGTCGCGGCTGCTGGGCGCCCGACTTGCTGACCTCTTGGAGCCCCTGGTGTCCAGGCAGAGGGCGAAGCTTCAGGGTTTGGGGTTTGGGGTTAAGGTCTAGGGTTTGGGGTTCAGGGTTCAGGGTTTAGGGTTTAGGGTTCAGGGTTTAGGGTTTAGGGTTTAGGGCTTAGGGCTTAGGGCTTAGGGTTATTAAGGTTTCGGGGTTTGGGCTTCAGAGTTGAGGTTTAAGGGCTTCTGTTTTCGGTACAGATTTTCAGGTTTAGGGCCGACGGGGCTTAGGGTTTATACGGCTTCTGGGGCTTGTGGGGTTGGGGAGGGGTTCAGGGTTAAAAGGGGGGGTTCAAGGTTAAAGGGCGCTGATGCAGGGTTCATGGCTCAGTGCGCTGCTGCGTGCCTCCACGTCGCCAGAACAACAACACCCTGGGGAGGTTCTGTTTTCCTTTCCTAGGTTCACGTGTGGGATTGTTTCGCAAAGGGTTCACGAAAAACCCAGCCCAGACAAAGAAAGCTTGGGCTCGAGCCATGGCCGACCACTACATGATCCCTGTAGAAACAAGGAGAAGGTATTCATGAGTATATCTACGAATTCTCAAATCGAAGCGGGTTTTGGGCCTTCGTTTTTGAGGTGCGTGCTAGTACGTAGGGCTCTAGGGTCTGGATGGACATGACATGGCGTTTGGCAGGCTTCAAAACGAAGTGCTCGTTTCCAAGAACGCAGCTTGCTGCATTTATGGCAACAGCCTTTTTTTTTCTTGTTCTCTCCGTTTCTGGTCCACAATCTGTAGCAAAAAGGCAACCCTGGACCGCATACCCCCTTATGCCCTCCTTAAACACCCCCTTATAACCCCCCCTATGCCCACCTTCACCCTAAACCCTAAACCCTTTCTAAGAATCCCAGGCTTCTCTGGCAGAAGAAGGGGAGGTCCCCTCGCTCGAAGCCTTCTTGGCTGCCTTCGAGGGCCAGGAGGCACACTGCGCTCCGGGGCGCGGGTTGATTTACCTAGGAAGTGTCAGGTTCACCGAGGGTTTAGGGTTCATAGGTTTTGGGGTTCATGGTAGGGTTTCTAGGATTTGTGTGGGGTTCATGATAGGGTCTCCAGGGTTTCTAGGTTTCTGGGTTTTTTTGGGGGGCCTTTTGGGGGGTCTTTCGGCTCAGGGTTCTCTGGATGCCCAGGTCGAGCAAGACAGCGAGGCGACCCCTGCAGGGTCATCGCGCGCCAAAGCCTGGGAATCTCGTTCTGCAAGGGTCAACTTTGCTGCAATCGGGCAAATATCCCAAGATTGAGGAATGCACCTTATGTATCCTTGTGTGATTCGCAGCAGTATCCCCATGAGGTGTCGTTTCCTGAGTAAATAAGATTCGGCTTAGCACGGTAAGCACCGCTCAGCCCCTTCGTTTCCGAAATTAGGGGTACCTTCTTGGCGGTCCTCTTTGGGGGTCCGTAGAAGGGGTCCATAATTTTAACGCTATGTGCCCCGCCTCGGCTTGAGCTTCTGTAACATACAGGGGGCCGGGGGCAGGTGCGGTGTGGGAGGGGAACAGGCCCCGAGGTTGGGGGGGCGGCCCCTATGCCAGGCTGAAGTGCCCCCTGGTCCTGATGCACCGTTTGCTCCCGGACTCTTGTCGGCTAGGCGGGGTACCCATGTCAGGCCAAAAAGTGCAAAATAAAGGGGCGCACAGCTTTTTTGTGCTACCCAGACATCTACGACCCAATGCCTCAGCGGATTTTCGTCAATTCCCCTATCCTTCTTGACCCCCTTTTTTTGGGGGGGGGGGGGTTCTGGATCTCCAGCCTTCACGTCTCATGCTCTCACCGCGACCTTCCTCGTAGGCGTCAGTGAGTTTCCACATCATGGAGTTCGCATCAAGTCATTGTTGTTCTTTCTCCCCGCCAAGGAAGAGGCGGCGGCGATTGCGATCCAGGAATACGTCCGGCAAAAGGAAAAGGCGTGTCCGGCGAGGTGATTTTATGTGTCGCTGCTGCTCAGGGGAGCATGAAGTGGTATGTGAGCAACTCGAAGCGGGTGCCAAACTTAAGCTGGCCAGTAAGCAAGTAAGTTCGCAAGCTAGTCTAGTATGCCAGCAAGCTCGTATGCCCGAAGTCGGAGCCCTGCCCCCTCCCCCACCCCCCCCTCCCCCTAAACCCTAAACCGGCAACCCTGAACCCTAAACCCCCCCAAGTGCCTCTGAGGCAGCCTCGGCCAAAGACTTGCCGGGGAAGCCCCCAATCCTTATCGTGCCGGGAAGCCCAGCCCGAGGATGCTGTCCTTGTCGGGTTAGCTGGCTCTTGCTTAGTAGGGAATGACGGAATTCGGGTATATATATATATGGTCACCCCCCCCCCTCGACAGACCCCGGAATTGTATTTCCGATCTGTCCAGGAAGCGGGGGGGGGGGGGAAGAGCACCACTCCAAAATTCCTCGAGTTTCCAAAAATCCGAAACTCCAAAAGAACCCAAGTTTCGGATTTTTGGAAACTCGAGGAATTGAATCCAAAAAAAAACAGTTTCCTCGAGTTTCAAAATCCAAAAATCCAAAAAAATCCCAACCCCAGTTTCGATTTTGGAAACTCGAGGAATTTGCTCAAAATCCAAAAACCCAAAATTCCTCGAGTTTCCAAAAATTCCAAAAATCCAAAAATCCCAACCCCAGTTTCGGATTTTTGGAAACTCGAGGAATTTGCTCAAAATCCAAAAAACCCAAAATTCCTCGAGTTTCCAAAATCCAAAAATCCAAAATCCCAACCCCAGTTTCGATTTTTGGAAACTCGAGGAATTTGCTCAAAATCCAAAAAAACCAAAAATTCCCAAAAAAAAATCCAAAAATCCCAACCCCAGTTTCGGATTTTTGGAAACTCGAGGAATTTGCTCAAAATCCAAAAAAACCCAAAATTCCTCGAGTTTCCAAAATTCCAAAAATCCAAAAATCCCAATTTCGGATTTTTGGAAACTCGAGGAATTTTGCTCAAAATCCACAAAAACCCAAATTCCTCGAGTTTCCAAAATTCCAAAATCCAAAACCCAACCCCATTTCGGATTTTTGGAAACTCGAGGAATTTGGGTTTTTGGATTTTGAAAACCAAATTCCTCGAGTTTCCAAAAATCCGAAAACTGGGTTGGGATTTTGGATTTTTTGGATTTTGGAAACTCGAGGAATTTTGCAAATTCCTCGAGTTTCCAAAAATCCGAACTGGGTTGGGATTTTTGGATTTTGGAATTTTGGAAACTCGAGGAATTTTGGGTTTTTTGATTTGAGCAAATTCCCGAGTTTCCAAAATCCGAAACTGGGGTTGGGATTTTTGGATTTTTGGAATTTTGGAAACTCGAGGAATTTTGGGTTTTTTGGGATTTTGAGCAAATTCCTCGAGTTTCCAAAAATCCGAAACTGGGGTTGGGATTTTTGGATTTTTGGAATTTTGGAAACTCGAGGAATTTTGGGTTTTTGTGGTTTTTGAGCAAATTCCTCGAGTTTCCAAAAATCCGAAACTGGGGTTGGGATTTTTGGATTTTTGGAATTTTGGAAACTCGAGGAATTTTGGGTTTTTTTGGATTTTGAGCAAATTCTCGAGTTTCCAAAAATCCGAAACTGGGGGTGGGATTTTTGGATTTTTGGAATTTTGGAACTCGAGGAATTTGGGGTTTTGGATTTTGAGCAAATTCCTCGAGTTTCCAAAAATCCGAAACTGGGGTTGGGATTTTTGGATTTTGGAATTTTGGAAACTCGAGGAATTTGGGTTTTTTGGATTTTGAGCAAAATTCCTCGAGTTTCCAAAAATCCGAAACTGGGGTTGGGATTTTTGGATTTTGGAATTTTGGAAACTCGAGGAATTTTGGGTTTTTTTTGGATTTTGAGCAAATTCCTCGAGTTTCCAAAAATCCGAAACTGGGGTTGGGATTTTTGGATTTTGGAATTTTTGGAAACTCGAGGAATTTTGGGTTTTTGTGGATTTTTGAGCAAATTCCTCGATTTCCAAAATCCGAAACTGGGGGGTTGGGATTTTGCTCGAGAAATCAAATTCTCGAGTTTCCAAAAATCCGAAACTGGGGTTGGGAATTTTTGGATTTTGGGAATTTTGGAAACTCGAGGAATTTTGGGTTTTTTTGGATTTTGAGCAAATTCCTCGAGTTTCCAAAAATCCGAAACTGGGGTTGGGATTTTGGGTTTTTGGAATTTGGAAACTCGAGGAATTTTGGGTTTTTTGGATTTTGAGCAAATTCCTCGAGTTTCCAAAAATCCGAAACTTGGGTTGGGATTTTTGGATTTTTGGGTTTTTGGAAACTCAGGTTTTGGTGAGATTCTTTTAGGGGTTCTACACTCATGAGAAATATGAAATTGGAAACTCGAGCGGGAGCCTCAAAATCAAAACATCGAGCAAATTCCTCGAGTTTCCAAAATTCCAAACCTTGGGGTGGATTTTTTTGGATTTTTTGAATTTTGGAAACTCGAGGAATTTGCTCGATTTTTGGATTTTGAGGCTCCCGCTCGAGTTTCCAAAAATCCAAACCTTTGGGGTGGATGTTTGGATGTTTGGATTTTTGGATTTTTATAAACTGGATTTTTGATAAGAGTTTTTCAGGGGTTCTTATATGATTCCTTATTATGTTTGAGGCTGCCTATTAAATTTAATAATTCTCCTGTTCACTTTAACGGGAGTCCTTATTGAATTAACAAGACTCCTAATCATTTTACTAGCATTCTAAGTGATTTTCAATGGCAATGGGATTCCTGTATTTGTTTAATGGGGTTCGTATCAGATTTTAAAGGATGCCTGTTAAAGGACTTTATTGGGTTTAATATTGATTCCTATTCATTTTAATCAAATGCCAAATAATTGGAAGACGATTCTGAGTAATTGTAATAACATTCTTCTTCCTAGTTAGTTTTAATAAAAGTCTTAGAAATTTAAAAAGCTTCATAACAAATTTTATACATATTCCTATTAATTTCAATAGGCTTCTTATTCATTTTCATAAGATGTCTTACAATTTCTAATTGGGTTCCTTTTGCTTTGACAAGCTTCCTATTCATTTAAAAAGGCTTCTGATTAATTGGAATAGGCTTCGTATTCATTTTAACAGGGTTGCTCATTCATGTTGACAGGATTCCTAATAATGTTCATAGGATTCCTACTAGATTCACAGTGCTCCGATTATATTTTTAAATCCTGTTCCCTATTCATTTCAATTGGACTCGAAGTAATGTTATTGTAACTCTCATTTGTTTTTTTAGCAATCCTGTTAATTAAATGTGTTAATAGTGTTTATTATAATTCTAACAGTACGACTCTTAGTGTTTTAAGTTTTGAAGGGTCCACATTACTTTTTTTATAGAATTTTATTGGCTCCTCTTAATCCTTTAATAGGATTCATCTTCATGTTACACGGATTCCTGTTACTCTTAAAAAGAATTCATAGATTCTTTTGTAGGGTTCCTATTAATTTTAATAGCATTCCTATGAATTCAAAAGGGTTCCTATTCATTTGAATGGCCTTCCTATGGTTCCTCTGAATTTAGGACGCCAAGAAATTTTAATAGGAGCTTCTACGTATTTCAACCAGGTTCTTATTAATTGTACTAGGATTCTTACTAAGTTTTCAAAAAAGACTCGTCTTAATTTCAATAGGGTTCTCATTCATTTTAATGGGGTTCCTATTGATGTAAACAGGATTCCTATTGAACTCATACGAAGCCTATGAATCCTAATAAACTTAATAGGAACCCAAGTAAAACTAAGAGCAACCTTATTAAAATTAATAGCAATCCACGATGTCGAGCAAATTGTTCAGGTCCTTACAGCATTCGTCCTTCTCACGTCTGTCTGCATCTTTCATTGCGAACACAAAGCCGTACTAATCGAACAAAAATATGCTCTATTGTGTGGTAACGTGTCTGGCTACTGTGTGCAGCTATGCTGTCCGTCGCGCCCTCAGCCTTTTTTTCGCTTCCGGGGTCTGTCGAGGGGGGGGGGGGTGAGCATATATATATTATATCTATACCTTTATCTACATATTCGTATAATATATACATATATATAAAAACACATATCTATATATATATAATATATATATATATTAAGCCCCGGCGGGCCCCCCCCCCCCCCCCCCCCCCCCCCCCCCCCCCCCAATGGTACCCCCCCCCCCCCCTGTGGTGTGGTTGGGGGTTGGTTTTAGGGTTTAGGGTTTAGGGTTTAGGGTTTTAGGGTTTTAGGGTTTTAGGGTTTAGGGTTTAGGGTTTACGGGTTTTAGGGAGGGTTTAGGGTTTAGGGTTTAGGGTTTAGGGTTTAGGGTTTAGGGTTTTCCCCGCGGATGGGGTACTAAGATGATCCCCCCCCCCCTGTGGTGTGGTTGGGGGTTGGTTTTAGGGTTAGGGTTTAGGGTTCAGGGTTTTAGGGTTTAGGGTTTAAGGTTTAAGACTTAAGGTTTAGGGTTTAGGGTTAGGGTTTAGGTTTTAGGGTTTAGGGTTTAGGGTTTAGGGTTTAGGGTTTAGGGTTTAGGGTTTAGGGTTTAGGGTTTAGGGACCGTAGAGTAGACTTGGGGGGGGGGGGGATACCATTGGGGGGGGGGGGGGGGCCCAGGACGCTCGACGCTGAACCATATATAAAGGGCCCTCTCCCTAAAAGGGGGCCAGGGGCCAGCTGCACCGTCGTGCTGGAGCCACGCCGCTCACAGGTTCCTCGCCGCTGCCGCTTGCTTGCTGGTTGCTGCGCTGATAAGGCCCGCCAGGGTTTAGGGTTTGGGGTTTGGGGTTTAGGGACTGGTATCTCATGGTATCTGACTCTGAACTCGATGAGTGACAGAGCGAATGAGCAGGACGTCTCTAGCAACTAACACAGCCTCGAACAGGAGTGCTCAGGTTCTTGAGAACCACCGTTGGAAAGCTGTGACGTTGGAAATGTTCTGGTATTGTGTGCTCGAGACTGTACCTGTCCACAGATCAGTTCATGTCGAGGCAAGGAAGCCGGCCCCTGAACCCAGATCTTCCAAAACCCCTTAATTGAGGAATATACCCGAACTCATGATGTTGGATCCTTAGTATAAATTAGGGTATATTCCTTCATTAAGGGGTTTTGCAAGACCTGGGAACCTGAAACACAAGCCTTGGAAGGTTTGTTAGCCTTTGGCTGCTCCGTCGATTCATGCGTTTCTGGTATTGGCTTCGGCGCCGCTCGGTGGAGAATGGAAGGGGATCTCCAGTTAAGGGCATCCACCCCTTATACCCCCCTTATACCCCCTCATACCCCTCTTACACCTTATACACCCCTGATACCCCCCTTTATACTCCCCTTATACAACCCTTTTCCTCCTTTGGATAGGCCCCCTTACGTCCTCAAGGGCGTTGGATTCAGGGCCCGGAGGTTTGATGCTTTGGTGGTCCTACCGCAGGCGCTGCTGTGTAACACACTGCAGCTTTACGCATCGGAGTAGGTCCCCGCCCGAGTGGAAAGGTTGAGCCGCTCTTTCAAAAAGGCAGATGTTGTTGAGTTGATGTTCAGACTTAGACAATGTGTTGCATTAACACGCCTCCTTGTTCCCTGTGCCCGGAATCCCTGGAGTTGACCAGACAATCTCAGCATCACGTGCAGTTAATGCCGAGACAACCCCATCAGGAGGTGCAAGAACACGCCAGCTTCACGGCCAAAAAGCCCCTGTAACACGACCCTCCGCAACTTTACAAGCCTGGTGAGGCCCGAGATCCGCGCCAAGAGGGCAGCATACCAGGCCCTTGCTACAAGCCTGACGTGGCGGAGGCGGAAAAAAGGGGCAAGTGATGCCAGTGCTTCGGCTCCCCGGCCTTTGAGGCTGAGGGTTTAGGGTTTAGGGTTTAGGGTTTAGGGTTTAGGGTTTAGGGTTTAGGGTTTAGGGCTGAGGGGAGCTTTCTTGAGCCTAGAGCTGCATCTTGTCATCACTCTGCAGTGCAAGTGGCGCCATCCACACACATCAGGGTGATTTCGGGGTGCTGCGCGTGGGTATCAAAGGATGCTGCTGCTTCTTTTGGCTCCAGAGCCCATAAAAGGGGGCCAGTACAGTTTTCCTTGCCATACGACGAGAAGAGGCCGGCTGCTTCCAAAATCTCAAAGCTCGTCTGTGCAGCTTCCTTCAGGCTTTCGCGGGCTGTCTAACTTGTGAAGTCGCCGCAGCCCACTCTCCTAGCTCTCGGCACGATTCACGCATAGCTCCCGGCACGATTCATGCCAGGGATTCTGACAAACATTCATGAAACACATCTATCCACTTCCAATCCCATTCTGACACTTCGGAGGGGCATCAGTCCCTTCCAGCTCGGTCAAGTGGCGACGGCAACGAGAAGAGGCCCTTGGATTTGTGCTCCCACCGAGCATCGCATGGTTTCTTTTGATGCTGGGTTTTGATGAGTTTCTCTATTTCGAAGCTCCAATAGTTCAATGCTTCCTGCAGATTTCGGTGTGCAACGAGGCCTTACATTTCTGACCAAACTACTGTCTGCTTCGTTACGCAGGATGTCTGCGGACGATGCGCAGGACGCCGCAGACGAAGTGCCCGGCCCCCGCCCGCCAATGTGGTCCATGAAAAGAACGCACGGAATCGAGGGACTGACAAAGAGGAGCCAAGATTAACTAAAACCCTAAACCCTAAACCCCAAACCCCTAAACCCTATGAGCTTCGATTTGAGCGAAGGTCTGATGCAGGGTAGCTCTCAGGCGCGAGGTCGAGGCAAAGTCAGGTAGGAAGCGTGCCAAAACCGCTGCCCCAGGCCTGTGGAATGGGTTTTCGAGGCCCACGACGATGCTGACGAGGAGGTGGGGTTCAGGGTTTAGGGTTTAGGGTTTGGGGTTTAGGGTTTAGGGTTCAGGGGTGCAAAGGGAAGCTGGAGGGGTGTCTTGGGTTTAGCCTGCCTCGTGAGGTGGGGGGGCCGGTCACCTTACGCAAATCTCTCCACCCTAAACCCTATCCCTAAACCCTAAACACCTGTTCAGGGGTTTAGGGTTTCGGGTTCAGGAATCCACCTTGAGACCCTACATGCGCTCGTAGACCCGGTAAGGCCTCCTGAGCCTCAGGTGCTGTCGCCACCCGCCTCGGGCGCATCCAAAAGCTGGCTGTCCCCGGCCCAGTCTTGGGCCAATGTTTGGGAGTTTGGGGGGCTTGAAAGCATGTAGGGTTTAGGGTTTAGGGTTTAGGGTTTAGGGTTTAGGGTTTAGGGTTTAGGGTTTAGGGTTTAGGGTTTAGGGTTTAGGGTTTAGGGTTTAGGGTTTAGGGTTTAGGGCCCTCAAGAGAGGATGTCACGAAACACCTCTTGGGAACCCTTAAGAGTCTCCTGTCCCTGAACCCTATTTCCCGCCAAGGAGCTGGCTGCAGGGTACGTGGGCTTCTCAGTTCTTTTGGGGTTTGCTGGAGGCCACCCTTCGCTGAGCTCTACAAAAATTCCAGAAGCTTCAATATCCCTTAGTTCAGGAAGCTTCCCTAAATCATAGGATCGTCCATTTGGGAGCATCGCCACAATCAAGGGAAGTTTTTGGGGAACCTCAAACGGCATGGCTTTGGCTAACGCTTGTTACTTCTGGCTGCCAGGCTCGTGCAAAAGCTACAGACCATGAGTTTCCTGGACAGTTTTTTCCAAGGAAGGTTTAGGGTTGAGAGTTTGGAGTAGTTTGCGAGGCTCAAGGAGTTGTAGGGCTTAAGGTTTAGCCCAAACCGACCCAGTCTCCACTGCACACCCTATAAACCCCAACGCCTGAATGGAAAACCCTGACTTCCAAACCCCAGATCCTAAACTCCAAAGCCTACCCTAGTACCCTAAACCCTAAACCCTGAACCCTAAACCCTAAACCCTAAACCCGGAACCCACATCCCGAAGCCCATCGCCGAGGCCTGCCCCAAAGGGGCGCCAGTATTCGAGGTGCGGGGGGCATCGTTCTGTCCCAAACACCCTCTGGGCCTGTTGGGAAACCCTAAACCCAAAACCCTAAGGCCCTCTCTTTAAACCCTAAACCCTGAACCCTACAGATCGGGGTCCTAAGCTCCTTTTCTTAACCCTATAAGCCCTGCAAGCCTTCTCAGCCTCGAAACCCGAATTAAGCCCTATAGGCCTATACAAACGCTCTCAGCCCTCGAGACCCGAATTCAACCCTATAAGCCCCATGAACCCCTGTCCATAAACCCTAAACCCTAAACCCTAAACCCCAAACCCTAAACCCTAAACCCTAAACCCTAAACCCTAAACCCTAAACCCTAAACCCTAAACCCTAAACCCTAAACCCTAAACCCTAAACCCTAAACCCTAAACCATAAACCATAAACCCTAAACCCTAAACCCTAAACCCTAAACCCTAAACCCTAAACCCTAAACCCTAAACCCTAAACCCTAAACCCTAAACCCTAACCCCGAAATCCCTCCGGCCCAGGGAGTCGGATGCCTCCGCGGGCTCCTTGCCCCAGGAGTCAGAGCCGGGGAGCCCAGAAATTTTCGAGGTTGGCGCTACGGGCTTTTGTAGGGTTTTTGTGGGGGTTTTTGCGGGTGTTACAGGGTTTTATGGGGTTTTTACGGGGTGTTTTGGGCTTTTTTGTAGGGTTTGTCATGATTATTATCATGATTCTTCTTCTTTTTCTTCTTATTCTCATTCTTATTCATATTCTTAGTCTTATTTTAAAGGGGTTTGTATTGCTTCTAAAGGGTCTTGTAGGGGTTTATGAGATTTTGTAGGGCTTTGTAGGGTTTTGTAGGAGGTTATATGGGGTTTACAGAGGATTATAGGAGTTTGTGGTGTTTAGGGCTTGGGTTTCATGTGGTGGCTCCCTCCACGCCACCCCTGCGGGATCGTTTTGAGCAGGCGCTTCGCAACCCCTATATACTGATGTGCTAAGCCTCTCAGTGCCACCATATTAAACCCCATAAACCCTAAAACCCCTATGAACTACAAGCCCTATAAACACCGCGAACCCTACAAGGTCTGAAGCAAAGCAAGCCCTGAACCCGATTATTTTCCAAATACACCCTGCAGCCCCTCAACCCTGGCAGAAACCAGAAACCAGAAACCCTAAACCCTAAACCCTAAACCCTAAACCCTAAACCCTATACCCTATACCCTAAACCCCCCTCCCGACTGCGCCCCTTCCTTGAGGCCCTCGCGAGACGAGCAGCCGGCAACCCCAGCACCACCGGCAGCATCAGCGGCCGCCAAAAGCAGCGGGTGCGCGTCCCCAGCAGCGTCCATAGGTTCCCAGACCCCGGGGGGACAACCCTGTTCAGGTATCATCACTCCCTTTTTTTTTGGGGGGGGGGCTTGCCTTTGCATTTAACCTCTCTAGCCCTAAACCCCCCCCCCCCCCCCCAAAAAAAAAAAAAACACCCAAGTATGGACCAATAAATTCCTACACTCCAACGAAAGTTCCAATGTCCCTTAGTATGGCCCCCTTGCCTTCTGTTGAGTGTTCTGAAGTATGGGCCCTTGGGTTGACTCAATCCCCTGATCACTAAACCCTAAACCCTGATGTTTAGGGTTGAAGGCTTGGGGCCTTGGGTCTGAGCCCCAAAGCACCCTCAACGAATCACGACCCTCTGAGCATGACTCACCGGCACTCCAGCCATCCCCAATCCAAGAAGGGGATTAAGACGGCAGACCCCTATCGAAGCCCCTAAATCCGAAGCCTAAATTCACCTCCAGACCACATCCGCGGACAGGTACAGTGGCATCCTGGGATGGATGACAGGGCAGGCGCCAGGACCCTCAGAGCCAGAGCTTGACGATGCGACTGAGCGTGCGAGTCATCATGGTACTTGGAAGGTGCTGGCAAGCCGCTGATAAGTAGTTAAACCCTAAGCAACTGCATAAGTGGTTAAACCCTAAGTCGCTGAATAAGTAGTTAAACCCTTAAACCCAGCCCCCAACCCTTAATAGAAACCCTAAGCTAAACGACCCGACGCCCCAACCCTGGACCCACAAGCCCCCCATCTGAGGTTTATGGATGAGCCAGATGGCCCCCTTCCGTGGGGTGCCCAGCAGCCAGGAAAGGCAGCAAGTGGTACCAGTACGGCCCTTTGTCTAATTTGAGCCGCTCTCTTCTTTGCAGCGGCAAGAACCGTTTTCTCATCCGTGTGAACCTCGATTCCGAGGCCCCCACTGCCCTCGCGGCTAGACCCTGAGGATGAGGAGAGCGTTAGGCCATGGGAGGGGGGGAGGGGTGTTGGGTAGCATCGCCAGAAGTGGGGGCTTGGGAAGTGCGGCTTCTTAGATTCCCCTGAAGCAGCAGACGCCAGTTCGGCCATGCTTCACGATCGCCATCGCGAGCTCTGAGAGCTTGCGGAAAGAGAGGGGTCTCAAGTACAAAGGCGATGAACTACCACATGGCTGGGTCGCAACGGCTGTAGGCTTTGCAGATTCCTTCAGGGTTCAGTTTCATCAAGTGATGAGATGCGGCGGACCCGACTGAAGCCCTTCTAGTGGCCACTTGTGGGGCTGTCAGGCACTCATCACCTTCAGCTCAGCCGCGCTCGGCTGGGAGCCCAAACACGCCACGAAATGGGGGGGTTCGGGGGGTTTGGGGTTTAGGGTTTCTAGGGTTCTCGGGTGTAAAAGGCTTTGGGCTCAGCAAATTTGAGGTGTTCATGGGTATTCCTCGGCAACGCAAGCCCCACTTTTTACAGGAGCGCCGCCCGAAATCTTCCCCACGTTGGATGCTAACATGCGGCTGAGGTGGTGGAAATAGACATCCCTGGGGGGATGTTCCACGAAGATGAGGCCCACAAGGGCCGATGGCGTTGATGCATTCTGGTACCTCTTGAGCGAGAAAAGTGGCTCCACATGCAGGTGAGACGCCGGTCAGGGGATTGATGTCGTGTGCCTTACCGTAGGTCCTTATTTCCTTTTTTAGGGTTGGGGTTCCCTTATAATTCCCTTAAAGCCAAAAACTGATGCCCTTCCTAGGTTACCCTAAACCCTAAACCCTAAACCCTAAACCCTAAACCCTAAACCCTAAACCCTATACCTCCTGGGTCTAGTTAAGGTTATCACGTACGGTGTTGCAGGTCATCGGAGAGCGAAACGTCTACAGAACGACCTCCACAGCGACCAATGGCCCACCGGCCCATGGCCTACTACCGACTGTTTTTATGGGCTTGGGGTTTAGGGTTTAGGGTTTAGGGTTTGGGGTTTGGGGTTTGGGGTTTAGGGTTTAGGGCTCAAAGAGCTAGAGCGGTTCTACGTAGGACTGAATCATACGGCTCGTCGGGCAAGTTCCCAGGCCGGGGAGTATCTGCTGCTGACTCGCCTGCTCACCTGATTTCCTGACAGCTGTAGGAATTGATCCCAGAATCGCTGTATCTAAAGAAGCAAAGCATGCGGCGATGTGGAATTGAACAATTGAAGGATGAGTGGGTTCCTGAAAGGTACTGTCCTCTTTCGGGATTAATCATCGATTTCCCGAGAGTTCTATTCATGTCAAATGTGACGTGCAAATATTACTCTTCCGCCCATCTTCAAACGGTCCGATCCGGGAACAAGCTGACTTTTTCCACGAAAATCGGGACCCCTTGTTTAGTGCCCAAACAGTAGGATCCCCCTATAATAAAGGACCCCACAACGGTACCCTTAATATCGTAAGCCCCCATGTACCCTAAACCCTAAACCCCAAACCTCTTGGCTTCATCTTTGAGGCATCATCTTCAGCAGCCGTCGTGAGGGCGGCGCCAAGACACAGCGAGGCAGCGAGCTTGGAATAGTTCAGGCGAAGCAAGATGGGATTTATGTCGAGCTACGCATTCTGCAATAGGAATCCTATTCGTTTTAATAGGATTCTTTTAAATTTCATAGGTTAATGTTAATAGAATTTCCGATAAGTATATTAGGATTTCCATGACTTTCATCTGGAATTCTGATCTGCAGAGACCTTCTGGTTTCTTGCGACGAAGGACGCCAGTCGACCGCCGAAGCTGCCGGACAGACAGGCCGACGGCCGGGTTTCCGAAATTATAGGGGTACCTGATTATAAGAAAATCCTACTATTTGGGGAGTACTACGGATCCCTGGGTTTAGGGTTTACGACATTCGGGGTACCTTATTGGGGTCCTTATTTTAAGGGAATCCTATTATTTGGGGACTATACTAGGGGTCACCGACTGTCGTCAACCCCCACGTAGGAGATACAACGGTGATGACGATAGCAAGCGAGTGGCAGGATCTGCGATTGGCAGCATCCCTCACATCCTCACTCTCTCGGTGTGTTGAGCCATGTTAAGCCACCCTCAGCCCTAAACCCTAAACCCTAAACCCTAAACCCTAAACCCTAAACCCTAAACCCTAAACCCTAAACCCAGGTGTCTTTCGATCTTGGGCCACCGGACCGGAAGGACACGGATCCAGGCAACTGTCTTGCAAAGATGCAGCAAACTCCGAGCAGCGTGATCGGCTAGCGTGCGGATGCTTTGTGGTCTGCAATGTAGGGCTGGACGGTTCTAAAGTTCGGGTGTCCTTGCAAGGTGATTTGGTCAAGCTGGACGTGATATCTCTGCACAGAGCTGTGTTTGCAAGCTGAAGTGGTGTTGAGAGTTTCCGTACAATTCGGCTGGCAGCCGATGAGAAAGCTTGATGCAGCACATGTTCATGAGACCTTGCGCGGGGCACGTAAAAAACACAAACACCGAGTTTAGGGTTTGGGGCTTAAATGGCACGTGCGAGTTGAAAGCTTAGCAGCTTAGGGTGTATGTGCGCATGTAGGGTTTACAGGGTTCAAGGTATACAGGGTTCCTACTCGCCTCGTGGCCACGCGGATGCCGTGGGGCGGCGGGGATGATGCGGCAAAGCCGGATGGGGAGGACCTCAATGCCATCTACAACATGCTGAAGGCCACTGGCGAAACTGTACCCGTACCCCACAGAAGAAGCAAGCACGCACAGAGGTTCAAAGAAGTCAGCAGCAAGGTTCCGCCCTGTATGCCCAGCCGGTAGCTAAGAAGCAGCAGGGTACGAGGCCAGATCTGCATGGTCTTCCTTCCCAGACTTCGAGCCTGCATACTGAGACTCTCTGCACCCTTCACCAGCTCGAAAGCCTTGTAAGGACTCCCAGCCCTCCTAAACCCTACCCCCTAAGCCCTAAATCCTAAACCCTAAGCCCTTATCCGTAAACCCTAAACCCTAAGCCCTACAAGGCCATTATGGGAGCAGGCGGTTTTGCCTTGCCCTGGGCCTTCGCCCGTCTGGGTCTGGCAGCTGGATCGTACTTGGAGCATGCTCGTTTGGAAAGGGCTTAGGGTTCAGGGTTTAGGGTTTGGGCTTAGGCTTTCGGCTCTAACCTCCCGATTCCTCTCTGAGCTACAGAAGCTACCGGGGGTGTTTCGGTATTCGAAGCGATTGAAGCATCAACCAAAAAAAAAGAGCCCCAAGCAACGGGCCCCCAAAGCCCCAGCTAAACCCTTGACCCTAAACCCTAAACCCCAAACCCTAAACCCTAAACCCTAAACCCCAAACCCCAAACCCTAAACCCGAAGCCCTCCAAAGGTGGGAGGGGGCGTGGCCCTCTTCAGCTCCGCGGCCCTGGGTCTCATTAGCATCCGGGAGCTCGCGGCACTGAAAAGACAAACGGAGATCCAACAGAGCCTGGGTTTGGGGTTAGGGTTTAGGGTTTGGGGTTTAGGGTTTAGGGTTTTAGGGTTTTAGGGTTTAGGGTTTAGGGCTTAGAGCTTAGGGTTTTGGGTTTAGGGTTCAGGGTTTAGGGTTCAAATCTATAACCATTCTAGCCTCAAAATGGCACAAGACCTTATTTACAGCATGGTTCTTTGGCCCAAGAGCCCTGAAATAAGAGTCCTTTACAGGGGTACCGCGTTCGCGTAGAGGTGTGACAATCTCAAGGGCTAGCCTGAGCCAGGAACATGGTCGGGGCCACGTACGTTGACGTAGCTCGCGTGGTGCTTGGCGAGGCTGGTGCAGTGGCCGTGTACGGCCTGTCCATCATGTGCTCTGTGCCTTGGGGACGAAAATGAACCCTAAAAGGGTTTATTGCTCATATGCCTTAATAGGAATTATAGTAGTATAGGGTATATGACCCCAAATTTCGGGTTCATTTGGTCCTGAAGGTGGGCGTGACTTCTGCATACTTGGCTTTCGTGGCATCCACCTTGCAGTCGCTCTTTCCAGGCAGGAGCTACAGCCACTGCTTGCTGTCCGCGGCGGGTTTTGTGCTTCCCACCACGTGGTTGCGCGACTTTGCCATGCTCTCCAAGCTATCGCAGAGTGGCACTTTTGCGGTACTCCTTGGGTACCTCGTCACCATCCAGTCAGGTTCTTACGCGCAGGCAAATGAGCCCCTGGCCACGAGGCTTCAGGGGCTCCACTCCATGAGCCTGGGACCTGATTCCTGGCAAGATCTGGCACAGGGCTTCGGGCCAGTGGCCTTCCTCTTCTGCATCCACTTTCTCCTCTTTCCCGTGATGACCTCAGCCAGGTCCTCCGCCACGCCGGGGAAGTTTGTGCAGCTGGCTGCTGTTGCATTCCTTAGCGCCGGGATGGTGAACGCGATGTTCGCCTACACTTGCCTGGCGCTCTTCGGATCTCGCGTTTCTTCCATCGTGCTAAATGATGTTGGCCAGGGCACGCTGTACCTGGTGGCGACGAAGCTCCTGCTCTGTGCGGACCTTCTCTGCTCCTATCCCTTAGTGTTCGCCGCAGGCCGTGAGATCGTCGAGCGCTCACTCTTCGAGCCCCAGACCTACCCGAGCTCCCAGAAAGAGGCCCTGAAGGACTCACACAAACTCCCCGGCCTCACCAACATGGGCCGGGGAGGGGAGGCGGGTCTGCTGGTGGAGCCGAAACGCTGCGGCCTTCGCCTGCTCCTCGTGGCTGCCACGGTAATCGTGGCACAGCTGGACTTTGCAGCCATCCTGTCTCTTGTCGGGGGCGTGGCGCAGGTGAGGTTGCCAGAAGCATTATATGGGGGCTTACGAAAAATACTAGGATTCCCTTATAATAAGGACCTCAATTTTAAGGTACCCCTAATTTCGGAAACCCCCATGTGAGACCCTTTCTGTGAGACGGTTCTTTTCCCTGCAGGTTTGTCTGGCTTTCGTGCTTCCCCCTCTGATGGCCCTTCGCCTTCTGGGAAGCATCATGGGCCGCTGGACCCTTGGCCGAGCTAACCGCAGCTAACCGAACAAAAGCCTCTTGAACCTCTGAAAGCAAAGCCGACGCAGCTTACCCTGAACTTGCCCTAAACCCTAAACCCTAAACCCTAAACCCTAAACCCTAAACCCTAAACCCTAAACCCTTAACCCTAAACCCTAAACCCTAACACGTCCCTGAAGAGGCGCTTGGCTGCCAACCTCTTTCTTCTCAAGACCGGCGTTGCCGCAGTGAGTTTCTCACTTTTTGCTGGGCTCTCCTCAAACTGAGCTGAGGGCTACTGACTGCTGGCTCGGAGATGAAGCAATGGTACGGGTACATATATATATATATACACGTATGTATACGTATATGCATATGTATATGTACATGTATATGTATATGTATATAGGTAGACAGGTATATATATATATATATGTATGATATACAATATTGTAACCCAAAGTTTTCGCATAATGCAGAGTTTGTAACAAGCGTACTTCATCTCCAGCAATCCGTCCCAGACACTGGCACATCCCTTCTGTGGCTCCTCAATCTTTCCTGGGTCCACTTCCGGCCCACTCCACCTAAGGTTAGGGTGTAGGGTTCAGGGTTTGGGGTTCAGGGTTTAGGGTTTAGCGGAAGCCCAATGAAGCCCGAAACCCTGCAGCGCCGAAGCAGCTGGAATTCCTGAATTGGGGGTTCAGGGTTTAGGGTTTTAGGTTTTAGGGTTTTAGGGTTTTAGGGTTTTAGGGTTTTAGGGTTTTAGGGTTTTAGGGTTTTAGGGTTTTAGGGTTTTAGGGTTTAGGGTTTTAGGGTTTAGGGTTTAGGGTTAGGGGGTGCGGCCAAAGACTCTTCGCCTTTTTGGGCGGTGGCTGCGGGACCGGCGAAAAGAAGTTGGGAGTCCAGGGCACGGAGTCGGGCTTCAGCGTTTGCCCACATGAGCTCCTCTAGAGCCTTACGGGTAGGTACCCGGAGGTGGCCGGGGGACTCTACCTAGGGGTACTTGGTTTTTTTTTATTAAAATTTTTGGGTACTCTAATTCCTAAGAAGCCGCAAAAACTACAATTTTTGCTGGGGTTGCAAGTTCAGTATAGTCTAGATGTGCTACACACCCTCTAAACCCAGCTGCCTGAAGCCCCCACTGGCTGCTGTGTCCCGAAACCCTAACACCTGAAGTGCAACGCCCCGCCGTGCCTCAGTCCCATTGGACAGTTTTTTGAGACTGTTGCACTTTTGCTGGTTCTAGCTTTCAGTGACGAACATGTTTGCTTTCAAAGGGGGGGGGGGTTCCAAGAACCTTTCAGAGAATCTCCATCTACCCTTGGCGCAGACGACTTCATCGCAAGATTCAACCACGCCGACGCTGCCGAAGCTGTAGCGTGGGTGACGGCTTCAGACGATTTAGCCGCGCACTCGGCTCATGAAACCTCAGGGGCCCTGGGGTTTAGGAGTCGGTTCTGCAGGAATCGACTTTCAAGCCGTCTCGCGGCCCTTTTGACCTTCCGGAAAGTGTATCAAGGGGGCCCCCTAAACCCTAAACCCTAAACCCTAAACCCTAAACCCTAAACCCTAAACCCCAAACCCTAAACCCTAAACCCTAAACCCTAAACCCTAAACCTTATAAACCCTAAACCCTAAACCCTAAACTTTTGGCTCCCCAGGTTCCGCCGCCCCTGCCTCCACCCAGCGAGCCTCCAAACCTTGAGGAGGAGCAGGCAAGGCTACATTTGTCCCATATCCCCCCTTGGGAATTATTTTTGTTTCATATACCCAAGAGGATATTGAAAATACTATTTTTATTAAGGTTCTAAGGGGAGTATAGTGTCCAGGGTTTTTGGCTTTGGGTCCGGCAACGGCTTGCAAGGCCCCTTTTGCTGGCTGCTCTAAACCTCATTTCGGCCTCTTTGAAGGACGCTTTGACTTGGAACTATTTGGGGCTTCGTCGTCTAAACAGGGTCAGGGCGGCCTCAGCGTCTAGCGTCAATCTGTCTCAAAGGCCAGCAGGGATTTTACCCTAATATGGAACCCAAATAATAGGATTCCCTTGCAACAAGGACCCCAACAAGGTCCCCTTTCTGTAATTTCGGAAACCCCCAGCAGGTCTTTCAATCTTCTGGTTAGCAGAGCCCAGGAGGAGGTCTTGGGGGCAAACGCACAACCAACTCGCAGCCGGAATGGCTCCCTTCAGCAACCGCAAAAGCAACAAAAAGAAGTCCAAGCCCAAATGCGCAACGCGAGAAGTCAGAAAGCCTGAATGCCTTGAACCTCGGCAGGCCCTTTCTAAGCCCCAGACTCCACACACCCGAATCTCCCTAAACCCTAAACCCTAAACCCTAAACCCTAAACCCTAAACCCTAAACCCTAAACCCTAAACCCTAAACCCTAAACCCTAAACCCTAAACCCTAAACCCTAAACCCTAAACCCTAAACCCTAAACCCTAAACCCTAAACCCTAAACCCTAAACCCTAAACCCTATAAACCCTAAACCCTATAAACCCGAAAAACCCGAAAAGCCCTGGCATCCTGAGGGCTTCTACGAGATCCACGAGGCATCTCCCGAAGCTGCGCCGGGGACCTGACTCCGCGTTTTTGTGCGCCTGGGAGAGTTAGGGCTTATAGGGTTTAGGGTTTAGGGTTTAGGGTTTAGGGCTTATAGGGTTTAGGGTTTAGGGTTTAGGGTTTAGGGTGTAGTAGGGTGTAGGGTATGTAGGGTTTAGGGTTTGTAGGGTGTAGGGTATGTAGGGTTTAGGGTTTGTAGGGTGTAGGGTATGTAGGGTTTTGGGCTTGTAGGGTGTAGGGGATTTTAGGGTTTAGGGTTTGTAGGGTGTAGGGTTTTTAGGGTTTTGGGTTTGTAGGGTGTAGGGTTTTTAGGGTTTTGGGTTTGTAGGGTGTAGGGTTCAGGGTTTAGGGTTGATAGGGTGTAGGGTTTCGGGTTTAGGGAGGAGCGTGTTGGGGGTGTGTAGGATATGTTGTAGGGTTGTAGGGCTGCAGGGTTATAGGACCAGCTAGGCAGTATACTGGCCTAAGGGCTTACGATTCAAGGCCCGCGTGCGGATCATTAGGGTTTGGGGGGCTAGGTCGCGGGGATTGTCCTGAACTGATAAGCCTCGCTGTTGCCCAAGGCTCATTGCGAACGTGGGGCAGGCGGATATCTTATGCTCTCCCGATATGCGAGCGCATATAGTCATTGCACTTTCTGCGACAGTGGCCGGGTAGCAAGCATTGGGTGCTGGGGGAGCAAACGCTGAACCCTAAGCCGGACCCCCTGTAAGTACACCAGTGTTGTCTGTTGGCATGGCAGGTTGCAATGGAAGAGCGGCCAAAAGAGGCCCGGTGCTGAGGTCGTATAATCATGGGCTGTCGGAGTGTGCCATCAGCCTTTTGCTAAGGGTGGATGTACGTTGGTTTCCATACTTGTAGCATGCTGTCGCAAGCCCTCTTTTTGCGCGAACTAACCTCTTCCATTTCTACCATCATCTCCATCGCATCAGACGACTTCGCCGCATGAGTTCAGGAAGCGAAGCCAGGTGGGTAACGTGCGCACTGCATGGTGAAGGAACCATTCTGGACTCGAGGGTGTGTAGGCCTTAGGGTGCGAAGATTGCCTGAAGCATCACGCCGCAGGTTGAGACGGAGGTGGAAGCGCACCCGAAGCAGGCGGGGGCTACCAAACGGACGACAGTCATGCTCGCCTGGTGGTACAGTTGTCGCCGCCGCACGTAGCCAGCGTACATCTTGCTCATTGCATGGTTTGCGGACTCTCGCCAGGAAGACGTGAAAAGTACGCAGTCCTGATTGACTCTTGACCCAAAAAATGCAAGATGTGCCAGCAGAGTAAAGTGCCGCATTGCAGTAGATGACGGCGATGGCAGTCGCAGCGCATTCTGCTTTCGTTACTTCTTATTTTCCGCGCGCGGGAGCAGTTGCGAGATCTGTGCAGAAGCTTGCACATGGCAGCCGAAGACTCTCAGCTGCTGCTGGGGTCCCGCGATCTGCACGCTGGCTGGTCAAGGAGGCCTCTCGCCAGCCAGCATACAGTCCGGATGGTAGGCTACGCCCTGGTCTGAACGTTCTGCCGCCCGGCCAATGGCTGCGCACCGATGAGGACGATGCAGAGGTCGTGGCAATGAAGCGAGCCGCGCTTGATGACCCTCAGCTGGGTTCGAGCTTGTCGGCCTCTGACGGGAAAGAGTCGACGTTCGCCGCCGAGGAGGAGCTGTACTCGCTGGTGGCAGCAGCTTGTGAGCCAGCTGACCATCCACAGAAGATACAGAAGGGAACTCTGGCCGCAGCTGCTAGGCTCATACCAGAAGATCTCGTACTGCTGCGACAGAATGGCGAGGAGCCTGCCACGATGTGTTCGGTGTGCGTGTGCTTCTCGTTTGGCCAGCTGCCGGCGAAACTCGGTGCTCCACTCTCTGATATCCACGCACCCGTCCCTGGATATGCCGACAGTCTTCGCCGTCCTCTTGACCGGATTTTTGCCAAGCTCCGCCCTGAGAAGAGTTTCTGGCGCACCAACTTCGAGTTCCGCTGGACTGGAGACTTGCTGCACCCATCCGCGAGTGACGATCCAAGCCTGAAAGGTGACTTGTCGCACGCGGCTGGAGCGGCTGTTGATGAAGCCAAGATGGGCCCTGCAGATATGTTCCTGCGAGTCGAGTATCAGACAATCCGCCGCTTGCCAGAGTCTCAGCACATTGCCTTTACCATCCGGTCATACACAGACCCTTTACCGCTGGTCGCTGCATCACCTGCTTCTGCCGCCCTGGCGCGGCAAGTAGCCGGTCTCAGCCCAGACATGGCAGCTTACAAGGGCATCAGCAAGAGCATGCGGCCTCGTATTGAAGCGTACCTGAGGAGCGCAAGCGGTGCGTAAAATCCAGCCGCCCGTCAAGATGCCGAAGCCCTTAAAGCAAACGCGCGGTTCGTGTAGTAACGGAGGTTGAGGGATTAGGATTGATGTATAATCACGCCCCCACCCCATCCCGTGTCACAGTCGCACGACACCGTTGGGTTGACTGTTCTCTGACGTTCTCTTGTGACCTGACCTGTTCTTCAGAAATCCTCGATTGATGGTAGGGTCCGCCCCTTCGTCACTGCAAGTCGCACGGCCCATCGTGCGCCCCATCGTGACCGAAGTTGAACCCCGGGACTACTCAACTTAGCCACAGACGTTTCTTGCCAGGACGTACATCCACATCCATCAACAATCCCTGAGGAAGCTCAGGCAGGGCGAATGGGCGTTTCCTGTGGACCGCAATGGAACGTAATGTCTGGCGTCTGATCGTCAGAATGTCGGAAGCGACATGTCAGTCAATTTCACGCATGGTGTTTCAGGCAGTTCAGCTTTCCGAGTCAAGCCTAAATCGACCTATATGACCCTGAAAAATAAATCGACCTATATGACCCTGAAAAAATGGGGTGAAACGCTCTTATGCTGTGCGATTTATATAGTGTACCCTGCCAGGCACTGTATAGGTACCTGGTTCTGAAAACACGGCCCAGTGCGAAAGACTCCCTGGGTCAAATTAATTCATCATTCTCCCTGGACATATGGGGGTTTACGAAAATCTGGGACCCCAAATATAGACCCCCAAAAGTAGGATTCCCTTATAATTAATCAGGACCCCCCATAAGGCACCCCTAAGCCCTAAAGCCTAAACCCTAAATAAACCCTAAACCCTAAACCCTAAGCCCTAAACCCGGAAACCCCCTTAGAAGCCATCTTCCTGCATTAAGGCGTGCTGGGCTTTTGTTGCGGACAACCGAGACCTCGGCCCTCCAAAACTCCCTCATAATAGGGACCCCAATAAGTAAACCCTAAACCCTGAACCCTAAACTCTAAACCCTAAACCCTAAACCCTAAACCCTAAACCCTAAACCCTGCAGGCCGAGGTGACAGTAGCTGTTGACCCAGATGATACAGACGAGCCGGCTTCTCACTGCGACTGACGTGGTTTGCTAATGGCTATTCGGATGATCGGGGGCTTGGTTTTGTTGGAGTTTGGTGTGATGTTTTTGTGGCTTTTTTAGTTGGGCTTGGCTAGTTAGGACTCCTGAGAGAGCTTATGGGTTTCAGGGTTTGGTGCTCACCAGTATCAGGGCAGGCTGGCTTTTGTACTGAGCTGAGTATTCAGGACGCTGCCGTCATTCGGCACAGGTCGGATTTTAGGACCTAGTGGAACCATCAGCGGCCCCCTCTGCTAAGCATGACAGCTTCTCTCTGCATCAAACATCCGATCTACACTCGGCTGGAAGTGCCCACCCCTAAATATTCCTGAAGAAAATGCGTTGCCTCCAGAACATGGGGAATGTCTTCCCGACCCTAAACCCTCAACTTTAACTCCCAGCCCCGGTTTTTTGAAAAGTATGGGAGAACATCCCTTGCCCACATTTAGCGGTTTTGACCACGGATGAACCGCGCTGTTCGCAGTAGCCGAAGCCCCCCCAGGCCCGAAGATCCCTCACCGCAAGGCATGGGGCGTCCTTTGAGAAGGTTTAGGGTTTGGGGTTTACGGCAGGGTGACTCGATGATCCCGGCGGGTCGTTTTTGGAATTGATGCGAACTTTGGGACTGTTTTTGGCACCCCTAAAGTAGAAGGACTATGTACACCCCAAAGGAATATTGCAATCTCCGCATGCTGTATGTTGTGCGCGTGCTAGTTTACGTGGCGTGCTCGAAATGTTGGGAATCCATAACTTGCCTGATCCTGCCTCCGGCGTGCGTCCTACAAGCTGCGAAACGTCGTAGTCAACTACAAGGTTTGCACAATGCCGCGCATGCTAGATTATGTTTTTTGCACACATACATATTCGTTCATACTCTTGTTCAAATTAGGGCTGTCATCAGAAGTGGCGGAGGTAACCTCGATCGTCAAGTCGTGCACAGCGCAAACCTGGATAGGTCAGCAGACTGGACGCAGATGTTGCCGTTGCTGTGGCAGAAAGGCAGGGTTCCGTGATGCCTCCACCTTCTTTTCCAGTGTGCCGTTGGACGTTCAAGTTGGAGTTACACATTTTGATGTGGTAGTGTTGTTGGCCCGTTTTTTATCCGCAACGATGTGCTCAGGGGCTTTGAGAGCACCGTGTTGATGCCTACTCCCAAGCCTCGGATGTCAGACTCACCGAGGTCCTAAACCCCAAGCCCCAAGCATCCCTAAGCCCAAATATAGGGTCGGGATAATACGAATAGTGTTCCCTTATGGTCCCCTTTGTACTTATACTACAATAACACCCCAAAAAACCCTATTCTAATCATTATGGCCCCCTATTTTAGACCCCAAAGCCAACACACACCGGGACGGATGCAAGACCCAGCCTCGACAAGATGACATGCCGCCGCGATGTTCTCAACTCCGCTTCTGTGGTTCTTAAGGTTTTAGGGTTTAGGGTTTAGGGTTAGGGATGTTTAGGGCGAAGATTTTGGCTCCATCTTGAAATTTGGGTGCCGCATCGTGGTAGATATGTCCCACTGATTCCGGGGTGTTACGAAATGGGGGACCACTAGTATAGACCCCCAAATAGTAGGATTCTCTTATAGCATGGGCGGCCCCAACAAGGTACCCCTAATTTCGGAAACCCTAACCCTAAACCCTAAACCCTAAACCCCAAACCCCAAACCCCAAGCCCCAAGCCCCAAACCCCAAACCCCAAACCCCAAACCCCAAACCCCAAACCCCAAACCCCAAACCCCAAACCCCAAACCCCAAACCCCAAACCCCAAACCCCAAACCCTAAACCCTTTCATCCGTCGTGAATGTTTTTGTCCACGTTGAACAGGCTTCGGGCAAGAAGAAGAAGCCGACGGTGAAGGCAGACACGGGCTGAGCGGTTGTTTGTTGCCAACATGACATTGCCCCTAAACCCTTAAGCCTAAACCCTAAACCCTAAATCCTAAACCCTAAACCCTAACCCCCCAAAACCATTCCGCCTGTGCTTTCCCTGGCCCCGGTTGCTGACGGCTGGGGCGGGGACAGTTGCTGTGGTCGTACAGTCTCAGAGTCGCAAATGCTGTTGCCGTCTTGGAAATTCAAACCCCTAACCCCTAACCCCTAAACCCTAAACCCTGAACCCTGAACGCTGAACCCTGAACCCTAAACCGCGGTGAAGAGCTCCTGAGAAAGCGGTGGCAGGAGACAGACTCCGAGGCCTACAGGCGGGAGCCCTCATTGAGCGCCTTTCAAGCCTTTTTGGGGGTTCAGGTGTAGAACCCTAAACCCTAAACCCTAAACCCTAAACCCTAAACCCTAAACCCTAAACCCTAAACCCCAAACCCCAAACCCCAAACCCCAAACCCCAAACCCCAAACCCCAAACCAAACCCCAAACCCCAAACCCCAAACCCTAAACCCTAAACCCTAAACCCTAAACCCTAAACCCTAAACCCTAAACCCTAAACCCTAAACCCTAAACCCTAAACCCTAAACCCTAAACCCTAAACCCTAAACCCTACCCACTAAACCTGTTTGTGAGATTCTGCTACTTCCCTCCCAGGGAACAGGAGAGCCGGAAGAGCAAGTTGCTCGACGAGGAGTTGGAAGCCGCTGCCCCAGCTCCCACTGTGATGTCGCATTTGAGTGCTTTGAAGGCTGACTTACACATGTATACATATACACGTATGTACATATGAGCGACTAATTTTATTACGTTGCAGGAGGTCTCTTGTGGCGGAGATAAAAACCTTATGTCGTGCCTGAAACCTCGGAAAGCGATAGGCCCCCCCCAAAAGCGATACCCTGAATCTTGAATTTAGAAGTCGTTCTGCAACCGTGTCATGATTTCGGGTGCTGGGTGCTATTCCAGAGCGATACTGAAAGCGATAACCCTACGATACCCATTTGGCCATCCGAAGAGCTCGGCAAAGGCCCTGGCCCAGGTTGAGGGTTCGAGGTTTAGGATATGGATTTCTGATTCGAGCAGCGAGAGCTCCAGCTCCTAGAAAAGGAGCACTCGCACTCTTTGATTTATAGGTCCTAAAGAAAGGAAACGGTTTTAAGTTTTAAGAATTCAGGAGTTTTCATGGTGGGGTTGCAGGTTTCGGGCCTCATATGCAGTAAAGCGATAGGTTTTCGTAGCAGCATTGAGCTAAAGTCCCATAAAGCGATAGCCCCCCCCAAAAGCGATACCCCATGATTTTTTAATTAGCATTTACATAAGATTTTTTGCGGGTGCTCATATATATATATATGTATATATGTATATATGTATATATGTATGTACATATATATACACACATCGTAAGTATTCTGTAGATCTACATACATAAGCAGCATAAGCGTTCTGAATGAACCACTAATCAACACATATGTACATACATGCAGTTGTTTGCTGGCTTTTATCTGTCCAAATAATTTTTACTGAGTATTCCAGGTTCAAGGTTTAGGGTTTAGGGCTTCGACCGTCGACTCAGGACTTCAATGGAACGCCCTTTGTGGCCTTCGTGGCGTGGACGACGCACAGAGGACAGGTCTCAAACTAGCCGTTGGGTCTTAGGGCCTTTATAGGGTTTAGGGCCAGGCCGAAACCCCCCTGTTTCAGAAGGTGGCTTTACATGGACCCCAAGGGTCGCAAAGCACGCAAGGAGCCTGTAGACCCTTGATTTTGGGGGTACTTTGGTTGTAGAGTTTGGGTCCACGACGGCCTGAAGTGCCTCCTCTGCAAGGACTGGCGCGGATGCCCCTCTGCTGCGTCACGGGCCTTAGTTCCTTTGTTTGCCGCGGCAGGGGCCTAAACCCTAAACCCTAATCCCGAACCCCCAAACCCTAAACCCTAACCTCTCAACCCGAAACCATAAACCGGCATGGAAGTCTGTTCTGAGGTGGGCACTGGGCTGCTCCTGGTCGTCGCAATCATTGCTGGGGGCATGGCTCCAACCTTACTTCTCCTCACCTCAAGCCACCTCCAGACTCCCGGATAACGACAAGAAGCCAAACACAAGCTAGTAGGCTCTTGGAGCATCATATATATTTTTTTCTCCCCCTTGTGTAGAATTTAAGAGGATCATGTTCAGGAAGGGGCCATCCTAGCCAATTTTTCAGTTTTCCGCAACAAAAAACGGCCAAGGTTGCGAGACCTCCCAGCGTGGATGTAGACTGGGGGGCGTGGCACTCCCAGACTTCGGCACAGCAGTTTAGCACGCTGGACGCAGGTCCTTCTCAATGGACCTCCCATCATCAGCTTCGCCCTAGACTTCCTGAGCCCGAACTCCCCATAGAGAGCGTTCAAACCTGAGATGTTACGCTTGGCAGTTGGGTTTGCTTACGTGCGCGACTCCAGGCCCGTAGCCGCCTGTTTTCCCGCTATCAGGGCAAATGCAGAGGGTCGGATCAGGGTCAGCCCTTAAAGCCCTCTTTCGGAGGCCAATGAACCCTAAAATGGGGGCCAGAAACCCTATACTACTACATGAACCATAAACCCTTTTAAAGGGTTCAAATGAGCCCTCTTTACCAAGGTTCCTGAAGACGGACGTTAACACGTCCACGATGCGGGACGTCTTCCTGCCTGGAGCCCAGGGAGGAGACCTCCCTTACAAGATCAGACCAGGAAGTAGCAAGACAACCTATGGGGTTTTACTAAAATTAAGGGGACCCCCCCATGTAGTCCCCAAATAGTAGGGTTCCGTTAGAAGAAGGACCCCAAGAAGGTACCCCCGAAACTTCGGAGACCCCCCTAGAATCAGCCAAGCCATCTTCACGCCCACTCCTGCGCGGGTTTCGAGATCGGCTTTCTGAAACCGAGCAGGATTAGTAGGTAACCAGGTAGGCCCTAAGAACATGTTTTGGTTTTCCCTTATTGGGTTGAAGAGCATCATCTTCAGGAATATTTTGTCAGAGGGTTTTCAGTTTTAAGGGCCATCCTAGGACAGCTGACCATGGGCTTTCTTGGGGCCCAAGGGTTTTCGGTGCCGGCTGAGGTTTGCGCTCCAGCATCGGCAGACAGAGCGAAGGCTGGAGGAGGACCGGCCTTCAGAGTCATGAGCACCACTCGGACACCTAAAAGCATAAGAGGGTTCTTAAGGGGGGGGGGGGCTCATGGGGGGTAGGTACCTAAAGAACCCGAAACGCGCAGGGGTAGATGGCACATGATGGCACCTTGCAGGTTTCAAGATCAAGGGCAGAAGAACGTGAACAACCTGGGAGAAGCTCAGAAGCGGAAGTTTCCCGGAAGCTTACACAGGGGGCGGTGGAAGGAGACTGGCGGACGCGCTGGGACAAGCAGCTGGTTAGGGTTTAGGGTTTGAATTCAGGTTTTTTGGTTTTAGAGTTTTAGGGTTGTCAAAGATGCGCGATGAATCAGCGATGAATGATGGTCGACGGCCATAAGACGGCAATGCCCTTCACGTGGCCGGCTTCTTATTCTATATTCGCTATTTCCCGCTTGGGGGCTCTATTCAGCCGAAACAGTCGGTGACTCCACCCGAAAACCCCAAAGCTTAAACCCAGATCATACCAGCCTAGGCCCCCAAACAGTGAGAGACCATGCCCTCACAGAAGTCCAACCGCAATGACATAGTTCGCAGAAGTTCGCGAATGCAGAAGCCAAGAAGCGATGACAGTTTCGAGGACGGCGAGGCGAGAAATCTGAACCCTAAACCCTAAACCTTGAACCCCAAACCCTAAACCCTAAATCCTGAACCCTAAACCCCAAACCCTCCAAAAGGCCGAGAAAAATGAGGGGTCTGCGAAGGCCACAAGGCCTTTAAACCCCCACAAAAGCCCTAAGAACCCTGAAGCCCGAAGCCCTAGTTTTCCCTCATGTGGTCTTATCTGGACCTTACTCTTACTCACGATCTCCTTTTTTCTCAGAGGGTTCTGAAGTTCCCCCTGAACCCCCTAAACGCCCCAACTCCCCAAACCCACCCAGACCCCTACCCCAAAACGCCACGCAAAGCCCCCTAATTCAAACCCTAAACCCTAAACCCTAAACCCTAAACCCTAAACCCTAAACCCTAAACCCTAAACCCTAAACCCTAAACCCTAAACCCTAAACCCTAAACCCCTAAACCCTAAACCCTAAACCCTAAACCCTAAACCCTAAACCCACCCTAAACCCTAAACCCTAAACCCTAAACCCTAAACCCTAAACCCTAAACCCTAAACCCTAAACCCTAAACCCTAAACCCTAAACCCTAAGCCCTAAACCCTAAACCCTAAACCCTAAACCCTGAGCCACCATAGGAGGAGCCGGACCTGGTCGAAGACCGTCGACTCCAAGGCTTCCTGGGTGCTTTTGTTCTTCTTTTGGTTTCGGGGGGCTTCTTTTGGGGCTGTTTTGTTTGTCTATTCTTTTTTTGTTTGTCCATTCTTTTTTTGTGCGTGGGGGGGGGGGGGGGTGTACTCTCTTTGCGGGGCTTTTTGGGAGATTTTGTTTGTGAACTTCAAAGGCTTTTCAAGGGCTTTTTGTGGGGCTTTTTTGGGGTCTTTTTGGGGTGCTAGGAGTCTTGGGGGCTGCTACAGGGCTTCTTATGGGTTTCTCGGGCCTCTTACGGTGGCTTCCAAAGGGCTTCTGGCGGTGTTAAGGGTTTTGCGGTTCTGGGTTTAGGGTTTAGGGTTTAGGGGTGGTTGAGGGATCTTGCTGAAGCTGTGCCCTGAGCCCAGGTAATCGGCTTTACAAGCACAGCGACATCTTCTTGGCGTGACCTGACAGAAGGAGTGAGAACTTGAAGGTTTCGGATTCGGATGATGTCGTCCGTAGTGGTATGAACATGAGCATGATCACAAGATAGGGGTACTTACAGAATGTGACGTTCCACTTTTGCCTCGATCTTCATTGCGCAAGAGGCACCAGGAGGATCTTGGTTCTAATTCGGTTGAGCAAGGCCGAGCCCCGCCCAGAACGTAGCTGCAGAGGTACGACATTCCATCCGACAGTCTTGCCGGAGCGCATGGATTTCTGGACTCGTATTATTTGCTGCAGGTTCTGCCGGCAAATGTTGTTGCAAGTTTTTCTTGCCAGACGACTGTGGCTGAGACGGTGTCGACGCTTTATTCAGTAGACGGCGCTTTATCAGCAGATCCTGTCTTGAGCGGCGTTGCTGTCATGAAGTGGGTTTAGGGTTTACTGGATCAGTGTTAGGGATCCTTTTTGCTTTGTGGGTTATGGGCTTTCTTATATGAACACAAAGGATCCTTTTTTCTTCCTAGGGGAACAGGGATTAAGTTTAGGGTTTGGGGTTTACAGAGTTTAGGGTTTAGGGTTCTTGTGTGCGCCAGGCGGGCTGGTTGGAACGAAGGCTGCGCAGCACGACGCAGCATCCGCCTCGGCAACGATTTCGGGCTTTGGTGTGGTCTATTGGGATGTTCCCCCTGATACTAACAGCCCTGAATAGGGATTATAGTACCCCCGATTATCATCCCTCTCAAGGACTGTTAGTATAAGTGCGAACATGCCAGGTTCACTACTATTTGCTCAAAAACTAAGACCCCCCCCCCCCTTCCCCCCGCCCCCGCCTTCCACCCCCCCCCCCCCTCCCCTTCCCCCCCCCCCCCCTTCCCCCCCCCACCCCCCCCCCTTCCCCCCCCCCCCCCCCCCCCCTCCCCCCCCCCCCCCTTCCCGCCCCCCCCCCCAAAAAAAAAAACTAGAATCCCACTTTTACCCTTAGAATTAAGAACATTTATTAGTGTTTTCTTTGTTGGGGGGGGGGGCTCTTAGGCTATTCTTAAGCTTATAGTAGTTCTACGAACTACTTTAGATCTTCAGGGTTTACTTCTTGAGTTCCGTTTGGGGTCACAGCTTCGTCTACTGTTCCATAGAGACTTGATTCATTCCTGAGAGGCACCTGCCCTCCCCTCATCCACCCCTCCCTTCCCCTCCCTCCAGCGGTGCTGAGCTCATGTGGGCCGAGGTGGAAACAGCTATGCAACAGATCAGATGATATCGACGCTGAGATGCAACTTGCTGGGGCATAAGCATGAGGGCCGAGGCAGGCTTCCGCGCTGAGTTGTGAGCCTGCAAGGATTTTGCTTGATACTCGTCACGCCACTTCGAAACCTCGGAGCTGACTCGCATCAAGAGTTCAGTTTCATCCTCCCTACCTTGGTGCCATGGCCCCAGGGCACATGAGCCCTGCGATGGATCTGGGCTCTTGGTGGGCAGATGGGATGCCCTCACTGCTCAGCATCACCTGGCATGGGCGCACCACCTTTGGCGCGGAAGCCGCTCAAGCGCCAGCTTCGTTGAGCCGTGGGGTTGCAGTTAGTTTGGCCTTGGCAAGTGTTGTCTTCCTTGCCTTTGCGTACCGTTTCCTGGACACTGGAGCGGGCTACATCCGGGGGCAGAATCGCAACTGCCCTCGGACGCAAGTCTTCCATCTCTTCTTTGCAGGAAGCGCTTCCTTCCTTGCAGCTGTGCGACTGGGCACCCTGGGGTCAGAATGGTCAGAGCAACATCTGGATCCTGTCTTGGGCCTGTCTTTGGGCCGTGCAGGCGCCTGCCTTCTCCTCTCCTTGGCCCTGGGCCGCGCCGCTGGCGCTCCCGCACGAGAGGTGGCACCCGTGGCCGTGCTCTTTGCCGTGAGCTGGCTGCAGCTCGGCTTGTCGTCCGTTTCCTCCCAGCTGGCCATGCGCTTGGGCCTTTTCTGCTCAGGATCAGTTTGTGCGGCCGTGGCTGCACAGTCCCTTGCAGCCGCCGTGGAGAGCAGCCAACACACCGCAGACGTGAAAGAGCGGCTCCTGATGGTGATGTCACTGGTGCAGGCGGTTACCATTCTCTCACTGCTTGCCTGGATGGCTACGATGAAATGGCAGCTTGTCCATGAAGAGCATACAACTCGGGGCGCCTTGGGACTTGCGCTCGATAGCCTCTTGGATCTGCTGGGGTTCTGCGGGACAGGTCACCTGCTCCTCAAGGATCAGAAGCAGGCGGTCCTTGACTCAATTTGTCAACAGCTGGCTTGTCCCCGCGCTGCATTCTATGCGTCCTGCGATCAAAGTGACACGTCCAGTAACACTTCCGTTGGACAGTCTAGTGGATCCGAAATCTCTGCGAGTTCTGAGTCCCCACCGTTGTTTCCTGTGCATTCGGCGGGATGTTGATTCTCTGCCACCAACCGTGTATCGAGTACACGCAGTCTTAGGGCCACGGGCACATGCAAAGCCTGAAATGGTGCTCTTTCTGCAGACTTAGGTCGCGACTTTCGCCACAGATCTTTAGCCAATTACGCGGAGCGGAGCTGTTGCTCAATGAAGATATAGGATGTTGTGGCTCCTGCGATCGGAATACAGTACTGGGTGTTGATCAAGTTTCGTTTTCGCGTTATTCAGATCAGCATTGTTTCCAGGAGCCGTCTTAAGTGCATCCTTCATTCTGCATGGCACATGCAGCAAATCACGACAAGCATGATTGTCAGTGGTTTCAATTCCGATTCATATACCGAGTGGATTCTTGTGGCCACGGGGACCGCCACACGTGCCGAAAGAAAAACAGCTGGCGCCAGCCTTCCCGAGTTCATATGGCAGACAAGATCATCACCATGCATGTGCTGAAGTACCCCAAACCCCCCAACCCTAAACCCTAAACCTAAACCCAGAGCGACTTCTGTGACAGATGTGCAGCCTCAGAATCATGCGCGTCTGATCTAGCGCGATTGGGATGCTCAGGACAAGCCGCTCTGCGAACAGGGAATCTCGCTGGTCAACTACGTCTATCCCTCTCCGATGGTTGCCGGACCAGACGTGGCGCTCCTGCTAGCATACCATGGACTCAGGCAGTTGGGGATTTTCGAAAATAGGGGGACCCCTTACATACCCCAAAATACTATATAATCCCTTCAAAGGAACCCCGGGTACCCCTTGAATACCCCAAAATACTATATCATCCCTTTAACGGAACCCCAAAAAGGGTACCCCCCCCCCCCCCCCCACCCCCCCATTTTCGGAAACCCCCAGTTGCATGCATGCTAGTACTGCGCGTCATGCAATGGCTGAGGTTGGTCACCGAGCCCCCCGCAGCAGTCTATGCAAATTCGGCACACTTCGCACAACCCTAAAGCCCCAAACCCTAAAAGTCCTAAACCCATATAAGCCCTGAACACTAAACATTAAACCCTAAACCCGAAACTCTAAGCAGCTTGCGAACAACTGAGGTGCCCAGCATGCTGGTGTACGACGCAGGCGGCAGGGAGAAGGCGCCGCTCCTGTGATTTGTGGTGGTGGGGGTTTAGGGTTTAGGGTTTAGGGTTTGAGGTTCAGGGTTTAGGGGAGTTGCGAAGGCAGGGTTGTACCCCCTTTTTGCGGTTCCTGCAATCTAAGTGTCCTGGTATGTTTGGGGTAATTGAGGGGTATCCCGGTACCCCTACTTTGGGAAACGCCCCTATATACATAGTTCGGGGATAGGGTTGATATATATGCTAACCAAAACAGACCACAAGCTCCTAAATCCTTTTGAAGCTGCAACCCCTCTGAACCCATGAACCCATACCCTGTAAACCTATAAAGCCGCCCACATGAATTCGTAGAAACCTCTTGAGAAGCCCACCCAAGCTAGACCCCCAAACCCTCAGCCCGGAGTAAAAGCCCCAAAGAACCTCAAGACATAAACCCGCGACCGAAAATAGAAGCCCTAAAGAACACCCCCCTAAAGTAAACCCTAACCCTAAAACCCTAAACCCTAAACCCGAAACCCTAAACCTAAACCCTAAACCCTAAACCCTACAAGCAACCCTTCAAGGTGGCCCCACAGGTTGCCTTGGCCCTGATGGAGGTGCGCGCAGGGAGGGGGGTTTGGGGGGTTTAAGGTTTAGGGTTTAGGGTTTGGTTCAGGGTTTAGGGCTTAGGGTTGAGGGTTTAGGGTTTAGGGTTTGGAGGTTTGGAGGTTTGGGGGTTTGGGGGCTTTGGAGGTTTGGGGGGTTTGGAGGTTTGGGGGTTTGGGGGTTCGGAGGTTCGGAGGTTCGGGGTTTAGGGCGGAGGGTGTAGGGGTTAGAGGATTAGGGGTTTATCGGCCGATTGTTGGGATCGTAGGGTTTAGGAGTTAGTGTTGGGGGTGTAGGGCTTAGGGGTTTGGGGTTTATGGTTTAGGGTTTGCAACAACCTCTATACACCCGACACACTAAGCATAACTTTATTCAATATAGAAATTACGTAGCATGGAAAATAAGCAATGGCTAATAGTACTATTCCATGAAAACTCTTATCAGTCGCAATACAACATTAATGTTAGTATTGATATTTCCTCATAGTACTATCTGAACTTTCAGTAATTCTAAATGCTAAATCTTAATATCAAGTTTACCATTGCTATACATGCTAACAAGACCCACTAAACCTTGCAAGGTACATACCCAATCAGCCTTAACGAGTCTTCTTGGTGCCCCTGACTCGAAACCTGGCCTCCGGAATGGGAAGTGGGGCAGGGTTGTAATCGAGTGTCATGATGGTGCGCGAAGTGAGAGCCTGTTTTTGGATCCCGTCCCTGCGAGCCCCAGGCCGCGGCAAGGGGCTTAGGGTTTATAGTGATCGTATACTGCCAGGAGCATGGGGTCAAAGATATCGTCGTCCCCGCTGACTACACAGACGGCCAGTCGGAGCCCAGTCGTGGGGGGGCGGGGAGAGATTCCGAGCTGTAATCTGGTATTGGGGGCCTTGGGCTATTCTGATGGCTGCTTTTGACAGCCCGTGTAAGCCTTACGAGTCTCTGATCCGAAAGAGAGAGAGAGAGAGAGAGAGAGAGAGCGGACCAGGGTAGGTTTTTGGGATTAGGTTCAGTGATTCTGGGCACGTAGGGAAGGTAGGGTCGGGGATTTATGGTTTGGGGGTGGGGTCCATGCTCCAGAGGGTTCAGGAAGCGTGGCTTGGAAAGCCCAAAACCCTCAAAGTATGAATCCCAGGCCGCTCAAGAGAATACGGAGCTCCTTCCGCTTCAAGCCTTCCCGTCTCGTGGTTACCATAGCTTCTGGCAGAGGGGTGGCTGGAGGGGCTTCTGCTGTTTTTCTTGGGTTCCGAGGTCGAGTTGACAAAAAGAGAGGGCATGCTCGGCCGTTTATGTCGCCAATGGCAGGTGGTACTGCTGCACGTCGCTGCAGTCGGCTTCGGAACAAAGAGTGGCCTGGGCTCCCGGAGCATAGTTGCAGCACAATTCCAAGGCCTAAGCCCTGTAAACCCCCAAAACCCAAAACCTGTAGCCTGGTGCCCTGTACATCATCGCGTGGCTCTTAGTAGGGAGGGAATTGGGGTTCTATTTTTACCCTTTAAGGGATTATGCAGGGTACCTCATTTCCTACTAAGAACAAGCCAGATCATAGGATAGGCGATATCCCAAACCCCTAAACCCTAAACCCTAAACTCTAAACCCTAAACCCTAAACCCCAAACCCCAAACCCCAAACCCCAAACCCCAAACCCTAAACCGAGACAGACCCAGGTCTTAGACGAGATGCGCACCACCTGGGACACCTTCCTGAACGAAGCGGCAGATCCCTCAGTGCGCTCGCCGCTTCTTCACGTGTCCGACAGTTCATGTGGCTTTTTATAGGGCTTATCCCCCAAACCCTAAACCTTAAACCCTAAACCCTAAACCCGGCTATACCCGGCTTAAAGACAAGTGTTCGGGAGCCGCCCTTCCCCCAGAGAGGGTGATTTGACAGGTTGCCGTGAAGTAGAACAAGCTTCAAGTAGGGGTTTACGACATTAGGGGTACCTTATTGGGGTCCTTATTCTACGTAAGGGGATCCGACGATTTGGGATCTGTGTTAGGGGTCCCCTATTCCCGTGAACCCCCAAATTGTTTGCACGGAGTTTTTTCTGCAGCAGGACGCAAGCTTCGAACTGAACTGGACCGCTGGGCAAAAAAACGCTTCCTGCAGTCATTTGCAAGGCAAGATGCTTGCACACGCCACGATCCTGCTTCCAGGTTATGCCCATTCTCAAGGACCTGGGCCAGATGTTGTCAATCTCCGCTGCGGTCGCCGGTCGTTGTCCGTTCATTTCACCTCCTTACGCCCTGACGTTGCTGCAGGTGTACCAAACCCTAAAGCCTAAACCCTAAACCCTGAACCCTGAACCCTGAACCCTGAACCCTGAACCCTGAACCTCTCTGTAGCCTTTCTTGCACGCTGATGATGAAGATCAAGTTCTAGTTCTGACTTTCTTACCAGTTGTCCGGCCTCCCTCCGAGTAGCGAGCCCTCCCCCTCTAGGCATCCCTAGGGCCCCGTGACCCTTACGGGTTTAGGGTTTAGGGTTTAGGGTTTAGGGTTTAGGGTTTAGGGTTTAGGGTTTAGGGTTTAGGGTTTAGGGTTTAGCAAGCCCTGTGTCGAAGGAGTTCCAGCAGGCCTGGCCCCGAGCAGCCACGTGCTTCAGGGTTTTGATTCATGGCTAGTTCTGAGTCGGGCGGCTAGTGCCTTGGCCTGGGTTTGAAGAAGCACAGCGAGCCAATTCTAAGGGCCTCCGTCTGGCACCGATTCGGGTCTGAAACACCGAGTCATAAGCCCCAATACTCCTATGTCGTGGAGCAAATTTATGCTAAAGTTCCGGGGGGGGGGGGGAGAATCACTCAGCTCAGATTCAGAATCGCAAGACCCCCGCGGTCGGGTAGATGTGGTAGGTTTTCTAAGTGGCTGATCCTTTTGGAGGGTGTGCCCAATATATAACGGCTTGCATTGGAAAAAGCAGCTGCAAAAACTACCCTAACTTAGGAGCCTGCAATGAAATTATGGGACCCTTATGGTTTTTGGGTCCCCCATATATGTAAGGCACCGTAGTGTACTGGGATCCCCAAATGGTGCCCTAAACCCTAAACCCTAAACCCTTAACCCTTAACCCTAAACCTGAACCCTAAACCCTAAACCCTTAATGCGTATCCCACCCAATCGTTTCTTGGCCAAGCAGGAACAGGCCCGCATGTCCGTTCAGGCTCGGGAGCTGCACTTTCGGGATGAGGGTCTAGGGGCTTAGGGTCTGAGATTTAGGGTTTAGGGTTTAGGGGCTGAGGGTCTGGCAGTTAAGGTCGATGGTGTCAGGGTGTAGAAGACTCATAACGGCACCGAGTTGTCGCAGGCGTTCCGGGTTTTTAGGACTCGTGAGTGACCCGTTTCCACAGCGT